GTAATGAATCAAATTTTTAGTTCAGTTTCAATAACACAACCAAACAAACACAAGAATCTCGTGCTAAAGCAATAAATGCCTTATGTTTTATTTTTATTTTTTCATTTTTTACCAAAGACAAAAGAAAAAAACTCTGATCTTACTCCATTTTTATTTACGATTTGTGAAGCAGGAAGGAAGCTGTGGTCAGTGTCTTCTTCAGACGTTATCGTGCCTTTTCCTTCAGTAGATTTTGATGCAGCACCCCTGCTGACCGGGAGGGGAAAAACTCTTTCCAACAAAATAGAAACATCTGCAATATTCAGAAAATATAAGGAAAGCTTTTTAAATGACCATAATCAGTAAGATCTTAAAAAGTTTGAATTTGTTCATTTGAGGGTGGGAACTTGAGGCCTCCATTAATAATATGGTCAGGTGTTAAAGTGTCATGCATTATCAATATGGCTCCTCACCAGAGGAGGGTAGAGTATCCAATACTTTGTAACAGTAAAAAAGTATTTGGTAAAAAGTCGACTCAAGTACTGAGGAACTGGTCAAATTATCAGTCATTTAATGTTTAAAAATATATACCATCAGATGGAACAAAATGAGAAATTTAGTGGAAATTTGGGCTTTTAAGGATGGAAATGACAATGATTCATATCAGTAACAAAAAATTAACAAAATCGGTCAAAAACATTTTTTTTTCCAAACCCGTTTCTTTCAATAAAAAAAGTGTAGGTGTTATTTGTTTGTTAAAACATGTTTGTTTTTCATTCAGTGGGTCGAAAATCCAGAAATTTTACTCAAGTAAGAGTAGAAATACTTCACAATAAAATTGCTCCAGTAAAAGTAAAAAGTACAGCGTAGAAAAGGAAAAAAGTGAATGTAACTGAGTGTAACTACTACCCAGCTGAAAATGAAACAAACTTCAGGTGTGAAAGAGTATTACCTTCCCTAAGACACAGAAACATTTATAAACGGACCCTTTGGTTCTGATCCATTAGCTGTTGACCCGGTCTTTGCCAGCGCTGCCCGTGGTCAGCGTCTCGGTCTCCTGTGATTGGTCGTAAAAGCTCGGCGGTTGGTAACAGGCGGGTTGCTCTGCCAGCAGGATGCTGAGGGCTGGGCCCGCCGTTTGGCCTGATCTCTAATTAGCGCTGGCTTGTCAGTTGCTCAGGGTGGATCTGTGTGGGAAATTGCAGTCTTACACACACACACACACACACACACACACACCACAACACACCCACACACACGCACACACACCCCCCCACACACACACACACACACACACACACGCACACACACAGTCAGCATACATAAACCAGAGCTGGGAACCACACAGCAGAGCAAGTGGAGGATGAGAATTGTCATTTTTGTCTCAATCTGTCTGCGATGGCGCGGCTTTGACTCGTCCCGCCTGTTTGATGCCTGTCAAGCCTCAAGTGGCTTATTTAGGGCACAGGGTGTGTTTGCGTGTGTTTGGCTGCGCAGCGTTTAGCGGCGCTGCTGCAGCAGTGAAGTGGTTAACGGTCTCCAGGGAGGCTCAGGTTACCGGCAGCGGGGCAGGTCCTCTGCTCAGATCCTTTCAGCTCAGCACTCGGCGCAGACAGAGACAAACAGCGCCCGGATGAAACACCGCTGCAGCAAGTGACAAAGAACCTCTATCCAGAACGAGAGAGGGAGCGCGGAAAAAGAAAGAGAGAGAGAAAGAAAGAGAAAGGGAGAGAGAGAGGAAAAGAGAGAAAGGAGGAGAGAGATTTATTTTTGCGAATCCTTTCAGCAGCATGGAGTCATGAAGCTCTCTGTCCAGTTTGGCATTTTCGCGCAGCGACCCGGTTCCCACAGCAACACCGGCACCCTGAACAGGTACATACCAGACATGTAAATAAGAAAAAGAGACTAAATTTAATGTTTGCTTTTATGTCATGTCCAGTGTTTGGATTATTACACTGCAAAACCATAAAGCCTTAACAAGTATTTTTGTTTAATTTTTCTTGTGCACTTGAAAAAAGACTAAAATGACTTAAATGTAACTTATATAGGGGCTTATTTTGAGTCAATAATAAGTTAAAATTGATGAAAAAGTGCCAGGTCCACTGTCAGTTAAATTCACTCAAAAAAAGAGTTTCCTCATGTTTGAAGTGAAATAATCTGCCAGTGAAAGTAATATTTTGGAAATTATTTACTCAAAACAAGCTCCTTTATCAAGCCAAAAATTACTTGTAAGTTATTTTAGTATTTTTTAAGTGTACTAAGATATTTGCACTAGAAACTAGGCTAAAAATACTTTGCCAGATTTTTCTTTGCAGTGTAGAATCATCTTACCAAGTAATTTTGTCTTTTTAATTAATATTAAGAAATTATTAAACTAGATGAAAAACTCTTGGCAAGATGTTGTGTTTTTTGCAGTGTAGAATCATAAAATCAAGTATATTTTTTGTCTATTTTATAGTGCAAATACCTCAGCGCACTTAAAATAAGACAAATCTCACTTACTAAGTAACTTTTCGGCAAGATATAGTCAATAATATCTTAATATTGATGGCAAATATTTGTTTTGTTGGCAGATTATTTAACTTATGACTTATCTGCCAATGAAACTTATATTTTTTATTCACTACTAAGGGACTCTTTTCTTAAATCCACCTCCTACATCCTGCTGAAAAGTTAGTTTGCACTGGAAACTTGACAACATTACTTGGTAAAGTTTAGTGTTTTGCAGTGCAGCTGTCCATGTTTATTTTCTGCGTGTGGGAAATACCCCCAGTGTCCGTGTGGAAGACTCAAACTGGTTCTGGTCACTCTAAATCTCTCATCACCACTCAGCTCTTTCCTCTCCTCGGATGCTGTCAGCTCTATAAGCCGTGTCTGCGCTAAGCTTCTGCTTGATTTATTCAGCTGGTTAAATCCAGGAGGAAGTGGGTCATTGGCTGGTGTTTGGGTCCGATGGTAGTCAGGAACCAGCTGATTAGGTTTTGGCAGTTCTCTGTTGGATCTGGGAATTGTGCCATTGGAAATGTCTGTTTTTGTTTAGCTTCTTAGTTTGAAGCCATAATTATGATGTGAGCTCGCTGCTTGGTGGGAAAGTTCTGGGCGTGTAAGTCGACTACTGAGCAACGCCGCTCTGGTTTTGTTTATACCAAAGCTGCCTCTGTTTTGCTTTTGTACAAAGATCAAACTGGAGGGATGAATGATTAAAACAAGATGATATACTGTACGTTGGTGGGAAATGAACCATGTAGGTTCATTTGGTTGCTTTGGAAATATTTCTTAAATTCACACAATTAAAACAGAAATCCTTTTCTTCTTTTATGTTGAGACATTTGAATTAGCATCAGCATCATTAGCTTAGATTAATATGTGAATGTTTTCTCTATTAACCTTGACACACGGGATCAACCAACATCATCTTATTAAATGATTTATTCCTCTTTATTCCTCTTTTCATAAACACATGGACTGAGTCAAACAGAATATTACACTGCAAAAACACAAAATCTTACCAAGTACTTTTGGTCTATTTTCTAATGAAAATATATGTTACACTAGAAATAGAGTAAAAAACTAACTTACAAAGAACTTTTCAGTAAGATAGGGGAGTTTAAGTCTATAATTCCTTAATACTGATGAAGAAGTTCTGGTTGCATTGGCAGATTATTTCACTAATAAAGCTGGAAAAATGTCTGATAATCTGCCAATGAAATGACTACGTTTTCATAAATATTAAGGAATTTTTACTTAAAACAAGCTCATGAAAAGTGACCTATGAATGAGCTTTGTCTTCTTTCTAGCAATAAAAATACTTTTGATTTTGCAGAGGCATTGATGCTTTCATTGAACAAACTGAGGAAAAAATATAAAAACTGACAATCCCAACATTAAGGAACGTTTTGGGTTTCTTTTAAATCTTTACATCCATAAATGATAAATGATACCATAAGTACCCTCCTCTTTGGGCTGCTTAGGTTTTAATAAACATCAAAATCATCTGGGTCAGAAGAAAATTATATCAAAGGTAACAAATACTAGCTGATGAAATTTGAAATGTATTTATCCTTTCAGTTCTGGACAAAGTGTGTGTGTGTGTGTGTGTGCGTGCGTGTGTGTGTGTGTGCGTGCGTGTGCGTGTGTGCATGTGTGTGTGTGTGTGCGTGTGCGCGCGTGTGTGTGATCCGTGCACTGGCTGTCACCATCAGCCTCCCTCTGCTCCTTTCAGACCAATGTTTGCCAAGTGGCTGGGCTTCCTGTCCCCCGCAGCCTCCAAGCAGACACACACACACACACCAGCAGACACACACAGACATATTTGCAGATATCCTTAACTCTTGGCACGTTTGCTCTGTTCATGTGGGTCTGTTTGAACAGCTCAGACACACAAACGCACCATGATGTCACCCTTCCATCGAGTCTTTGTTCGTATGACAGACAGCCCCATTCAGACGTGTGTGTGTGTGTGTGTGTATCCAAGTTGCAATCAGTTTTATGGAGAATAAAAGGAGAATCACCAGGCAGTCACCAGATTCTTCTTTCAGTCTCGTTTCATGCTCCAATTAACATTTTTCGTCTTTTCCTGTTCATAGAAAGTTATCTATGAATATGGTAATTTTGCATGCATCTATGACCAACTGGTGATATTAAACACATTAACTCTAAAAGTCAATCTATTTCTTCTGAGCAGGATAATGCAAAGCAGAATTATATTATATCAGACGTTAGTTAGTCTCTTTGTGGGAATTGCCTCGGAAGTTATTGCAATAAACTATAATTTGAGACAATTTTCAAGAAATGTAGGGTGATAATGCAAGTACACCCTCTGAAAAATGAATAAACTTTCATTTCTAACACTGGAATTAGAAGATATTTCTGAAAAACAAATGGAAACTATTATGCAATTAACTGATTTATTGTTTATTCTAACAGGTCTTAATCTGTAGTTTTCCTCATTCCCAAAAACGATTTCTTTACATGGACTGAAACAAGCCTCCATGTCTCTTCTTCTTCTTCTTCTTGTGCAGCTGGGATGATAGCAGTTCGGTAAGCAGCGGCATCAGCGACAACATCGACACTGATGACATCAACACCAGTTCCTCCATCTCCTCCTACACCAACACACCTGCAGCTCAGCGCAAAGGCCTCAACACACAGGTAAGTCAGAGAAAACACGCATTCATGGAGCAGGACTCTGTATCCTACAGTGAAACAAAATCCAATCAATTGGAAGTTGATTGAACTTCCACGTAAAGTGTCTTTATGGGATATTCCTACATGATTCGTTTCAATTAGAGACGCATCGATCTGATATTTGAGCCATAAACAGACATCTTTATTACTTTCTGTTGCTCAAAGCAGTCGAGGCTACTGCTAGCTAGCTACTAATATACAATTGCTAACTAGCTAGCTTTTTTAGTGCTAACTAATACCTGTTGGCTGGATGTTTGTCTTTGTCACTTTGTAGTTTGGCACTGTTGTATAAGTTATGCTAGTTTTTGTACATTTCTGAGTCTTAAAATTCACTCATACTGCTCTTTACTGGTCTTAAAATGTCATGAAGAAGGAAGTTGTGGTGGTTTCCATGTTGTTTCCTTCTGTAGTTCTTGCTGCAGCGTCCCACAGGTGAGGAGAGGAACAGGTGTTTGATTAGTTTGGATCATTTGCCACAGTGCAGTGTGAAAAAGAATCGCAGCAGCTAAAAATGTATCAAATGTTCCATTTTTGGTCCACAATTAAACTGAGTCTATTGGACTATCAGGTGAAAACTCCCTGAATGAAGCTTCTAACATTCGTTGGTTAGTTGAAGCACATCTTTCTTTTATACATTAAAGCTAATTTTTCTAAGCTTGCATTTGTCAAACGTCAGCGGACTCTTGTGCTTATTGTACAAGCACTATACAATAGGTTGTATAGTGCTTGTACTATATACATATGCTCAGATCAGTATATTTCGCCTGATCTGAGGCCATCCCATTTGTGATGACTCTTCATTATTGCTGCAGAGGTCAAGGTGCTGATTGAATAACAAAGAAAGGCACACAGAGTGTCTTTCAGTGCCGCTGCACGACACAGTGCAGGTAATGAGCTCTGCCTCGTCTGTCCTCAGGCAAGCCTGCGTCGGCTGGACTTTGAAGATCTCACAGCAGATCAGCTTGCAGCTTTTCAAAAGTGTTGCCTGGGTGTCTGCAGAACTGTCTTTGCAACAAATCCAGCTGTTTTAGTAGGAAAGTTATGAATATTTATTCACACCAGCGCTGCTTTAATCAAACTTTAGTTCACTTGTGTAGAAAGTTTGGTTCGCTTGTGGAGGTGTAAATGTAAAATCGATCTTTGATGCGGATCAAAAAGGCTCAATTGAAGTGAACTCGAGTGCAGTTTGAATGCATATATGAACGCCAAGCAGGACAAAAGCAGGAAATGGACGACAGTGAAGGACATTCTGGGTGAATACAACCAACACAAGCATACAAGTCCAGCGATAACAGCAAAATGGCTCCTGGTCTTTTAATTTAATTTCATTTATGTGGTTTCGGACAAGCAAGCACAAAAATCAAAACACTTCACGATATAATTCACTGGAAAGAACACAACACAACATAGTTAAATGGATGCATAATTAGTTTGCTTTCAACCAATGCTTCTGCAACTGTGGTGTTTCCACATGAAAAAATTAAGCTTTTTACAAGTAATGTGAAAAAAATGTTTTCATTCCAGTTTCAGATTTTGTGAGGCTTAAAGTTGTGCTCCTGCTTCCTATAGAGGTTTTCTGTTGTCTCTTTCAGTGGTTCTTAGTGCAGCGCCCCCGCAGGTGGGGAGGGGAACAGGTTTTTAATAAGTCTAAAATGCAGTGTGAATGCCGAGTGAACTCTGGTTGGCATACAAATTCAAAATAAGAATGTGCCTGGGCAAAATGTTAATTAACCATGCAGCTGAAATGCTTCAACAATGTTCCTCTTGGTTTGCGTCAAGTACATTTCCTGTGAGAAGGTCATTATCAGTTCACTAACCAGGATTCAGTAATCTGAAGATCTGCTTTTTGTCAGACTGTAGGCTTGCTCTGACATGAAAGTGTAGTCATCTTTTAAATTACTAGAACATTTAGTTCGCAAGCTGTGATGTGATCAGACGGTGTGCTGTCCTGCTGTCTGATTGAACCGAGCGCTTTTCCGTGGGGGCGTAGCGGGACCATTGTAGATAGAAAAAAAACAAGAAAAGGTCTGACAAAAAGATTACATTTTTGAGCTCCAAAAGTAAAACATTTGCAAGATTCCTTGAAATTTTCTAGAAAATGATGAGAGTGTATTGGTATTGTAGATAGAAGAGAAAGGAGAAGTACATTTTCCCAAAAACTCAAAAATGTATGGAAAAAAACTTTTTTTTTTCTCTCTTTTTTTGAAAAAACAAGAACATTTTTGAGGTTAATCTCCAAACTTTCTGAGTTTTTTTTTCTTGCAAATCTTGACTATTGGACCTCAGAAATGTCCATGTTTTTCTAGAAAATTTTTGAAATGCATCTCAAAATTTCTGGGTGTTTTGGCAGAATTTTACTCCTTTTCTGTTTTTTACCAACGCCATTGTACTTTTCAGAACCTCTTGCCTAACTGTTCCTCTGTTTCCAGCCTGTGACGGATGCGGAGAAGCACTCTGCCTCTACAACAGCTCACCAGGCTTGGACCAGAGACGAGGCGAAGCGGCCTGACGGCGGGCTGGACGGCGGCGTCAGGATGGACGCCAAGTGGAGCCGCAGGAACTGCGACGTGTCCGACGAGTCCGACAAGGGCTGCTCGGGGAGGAAGACGGCCTCTGTGTCCAACACGGGCTCCTGGAGGAGAGGCATGAGCGCGCAGGTGGGGGTGACGTCGCCCCGCACTAAAAGCACCAGCAGCACCGGCTCCACGGTTTCAGTCGGCCTGAAAAGCCACGGCTCGGGTAAATCAAACTCTCATTGTTAAACATAGAAAAATATATCAAGATAAGCAATGAATTTGGCAACTTTTATTCTTTTTTTCTTTTTTCCTAGGATGTCATTTTTTGTTTGTAATTAGGATGATTATAAAATTATCCCAATTACAAAAATGGGTTTCTGCATTGTCTCCATCTGCATAAGAATCAGACTTGTGGCGTTTTGGTACTGAAGGGAGGGCCACGCAAAATTATTCCAGGGGCCTCAAATGGCCCACGGGCCTCACATTGGAAACCTCTGGCTTATATAGTGATATGTTTTTCAGCCATATTGTTCAGCTCCAACGTCTGAGTAAAATTTCTGGAGACTCTTCCCACCTATGATGTCATGTGAAAGCGTTCTGGTTTTGTTAACCTGAATCTTTTGTCCTGCAGGTAAAACCGACGACGTAAAAGTGTCGGAGAAAGGTCGCCTCTCTCCGCGCTCAAACGGCCTCCAGCGCTCGCCGTCTGACGCCGGGCGCAGCAGCGGCGACGAGGCCAAGAAGCAGCCGGTCCCCGCCGGCCGCGCCGCCGCCCCGCTGACGCACACCGTCTCCGACCCGCAGTCTCACACGCTCATGCTGTCGACCCGCACCCCGACCAGCACCTTCGGCTTCAAGAAGCAAGGTCACGGCATGGTCACCATGGTTACCGCGAGCGGCGCCACCATCACCAGCGGCTCGGCCACGTTGGGGAAGATGCCCAAATCCGGAGGGCGCTCTCTGTCGGGCGGCTTAAAACGGGCGGGCAGGACGCGGGGTCTGCGTTGGGTCACCATGATGACGGCTTCCTCCCGATGAGCGCCCGCTCCACTCTGCAGTACCGCAGCCTGCCCAGGCCCAGCCGCTCGGGCGCCGCGGCCCGTAACGGCAACCGCTCGTCCACCAGCAGCATCGAGGCGGCCGTGCTCTCCGTCACGTCTCACGGGAAAACTCGTTTGGCGTCGCCAAGCCCAACGGGTCAGCGGCGCTCCTGGCCAATCAGACGGATCGCGAGAAGGGCGTCTCCGAGATCGACAACCTGCGGAGCGGGATGCAGGGCGGCCCGGCGGCGGGAAGACAGCAGGTTTCATCACCAACGCTGCGCAGGTAAACACACATCTTCAAATTAGAAATAGATTCTGATTTTCAGGGTCACGATTCGATTCAGAAACAGTTTAATCCTGAATCCAATTTTTCTGTTGAGGATTTTATATTCAGAAGCATTATTTTGCTCAAGGGCTGCAGTTTTCTGTCCAATCACTGATCTTTAGGAAGTCTGACCTGCCAATTCTGATTTTGGCTGAAATCTTTTTTTTTTTTTTTTTTTTTTGTCTGAAACGTCGCTAAATATATAAATAAAGTCTCAGAGTCTCAGGTTGACTATTAATAGTAGGAAACGTGCAGACATGGCTGATTTTTAGACTGAGGTAGATAAGATCTGGTTCCCTTATTGCATCAACCAATCTCCCAAAATTAAGGAAATTTGTGAAAGAATACCATTTCCATTAGCAGATTATTTCTCGTGTAACAAGACAATTTTCCCACGTCATAAGTTAATTTGTTTTCCATTGGAACAAGCAGTTTTTCATTAATATTAAGGAATTATTCACTTAGAACAAGTTGCTATATTTTGCTCCAAAGTTACTTGTAAATTACTTTTGTCTTATTTCAAGTGTGCTAAGATAATTACACTATAAACTAGACCTAAAACACTTGGTAAAATTTTGTCTTTTTGCAGTGTAATATCACATGAACTAGCTAACGTGCTAATGTTGACGGCCCTAGTTTTTAAAGAAACCCTCCAGACATAATGAGCCACTCCAAGTGGGGCCCTCCTGTGTGAACTTGACTTCTCCCCCCGCCCCAAAAAAAACCTTAATCATGAGTAAAGGATCACACGTGTGGGCCTGTTTTGCACACACTCAGTATGTGGGGTTAAATGAGGCCATTGTGAGTGGAGGCCTTGAGCGCGGCTGATCAGCTGCCAAGCCTCAGCCTTGGTGGTGAGGTTGCAGGGGCAACAGGAGGGTGTGGCGCGCGGTGATGGAGTCTTACCTCAGCACTCTGCTCTCGTTAATGTGAGGCAGTGATAAGTCTTCAAAGAGATCCCCCACCGCGGCTTCTGTCATCGCAGCCCGCCAATTAGCCGAAACCGGGAACAAGAGGAGGGTTGTGGGTTCGAGCGCCACTTCGTTCTGCACTGACTGAAAGGGCTTCCTTTTGCTTCACTGTTTTTATGAGTCAGATTAGAAACTCTCAGCAGATTCTTTTGCCCTTGAACTAGTTACATTTACTCAATTACATTAACTTAAGTAACTTTTTAGAAAAAGTTTACCTTTAGAAGTATTTTTGCTAAGCTGTTTTTTTGTTGTTGCTTCTACTTGAGTAATTTTGTTAAGAAATATTTCTAATCTTGAGTGAAGCTTCTGGATTTTCTTCCCACTGAATGAAAAACAAACATGTTGTAACCAAAAATTCACCAGATTCAGACCTGTAGTTTTTTTTTTGTTAAAGTTTCATAAGTTTTATTTTGATTTGGAATTTTCTTTATTGAAAGAAACTGATTTGGAAAAAATATTTTGCCTGAATGTATTTTTTGTTACTAATATAAATTGTCATTTTGGTCCATGAAATACCAAAATTTGCTCTGAACCTTCTATTTTGATCCATCTGATGATGTCATTTTTAAATATTAAATGATTGATAATTTGATCTGTTACTCGGTACTTGAATAGACTTTTTAACAAATACTTGAGTCATTTTTTTTAGACGGCTACTTTTTACTTTTTGCTTGAGTAAAAATATGTTGAAGTAGTTTTGCTCTTTCTATTGTATTATTTTTTTGGTATTCTGGTAGCAACTGGTTGTATTTATTACTCAATTACTTTTACCTCAGTAGGAGTATTTTGGGCAAAGTATCCAAATATTTTACTGAAGTAAGAAAAGAACAACTTCAACATATAAATCGTAGCTGTGAAAGAAATTACTCAAGTAAGAGTAAAAAAAATATTTGGTAAAAAGTCTGATCAAATTATCAATAATTTAATATTTAAAAATTACATAACATGGACCAAAATATAAAGTCAAGTGGAAAGTTTGGACCAAAATGACAATAATTCATATCAGTAATAAAAATTTTTAAAAAAATGTCCAAATCAGTTTCTTTCAATAAAAAATTTATTAAACTTTTACAGAAACTGCAGGTGTTTGTCTTTTTATGGTGAATTTTTGTTGTTCATTCGGTGATTTATCGGTTCGACCACATTGAACTTCCTCCTCTCCTTCGTCGATGCACGTTCAGGTTGTTTGGTGGTAAAGCCAGCAAACAAGCTCCAGTCACCACAGCTGAAAACCTGAAGAACTCCACGGTGATCTCCAACCCCCACGCCACCATGAACCACGTTCCTACGGTGCTGGAGTCGCCTGATGGCGTGCTGGGAGGCGGGGACAGCGAGACCAGCAGCCCCCTGTTTGGAGGCCGAGCCCTGGGGTCAGGAACTGGGACTCTGGGCAGCGAGCAGGTGAGACGCTTCAACCGCATTTAACTGGATTTTGTAACATATATTTCACTTCCGCTGATACTGCTGACATAAAACAAATGTGGATTGATCTTCATCATGGATTCACAAAAAATAGTAATTTCTCTCCAAATGTTGCTCATATTTACAATATTTAAGGCTTAAAAGCCGCCTTTAAAACACAGTGCATGTTTGGAAAACATATGAGTAGCTTTCCAAAGATTTAGTTCCTCAGGGATCAGTGTTTGGCCTTTTTAATTCATTTTCAGTCGTTTAGTTAAGTTTAAAATTACACACTTAAGTCCTGTGAATTCTGGTCAACTTTAATTCCAGGTTTAAAAGCTGCAACTGTTTGTGTCCTCAGTTGATACAAGAGTAAACTGTGGCGGTGTTAAACGTGGGAGTGTGTTTATAGAGCTACTTACAGGCCTTTGGTGGGGACACTGGGATTATTCTGCTCTCACCTTACTAATACCACAAACACGCCGACTTCTTCATTCAACTCCGTTCAGGTGAAGCGCAGATGAGTCGAGCAGACGGCCGTTTTACACACTACAGATCAAATTCATGTCAGGACCGGGATGTTTGAGCGTGCTTGGTCATGAACTCTGCTTCACGTTTTCACATGATTCAGAAGTTTTGAGCTGGATGGTCTGTGAGTCACGTTATGACACACAAGATGTTGTTTGACGAAAGAGAAGTCATGTCTTCACAAACAGAAGGCAGTTCAAAAGTTTATTAAATTACTTTAGATTCAATTCACTCTGGAATGAAAGCGGACAATGTGAGTACATAATTTCAGGGCTGCAACTTGAATTTGATTAATGATTATTAAGTCTTCCTCTCAATATAATGGAGAAGTTGCATCTGATTGATATTAGGATGTCTGATCAATTTATTTCCTAGAGAGATTTTGGAAACGGTAAATATAAGTGTTTTATGTCAGTAAATATTGCTAATTATTGATTGAATTTTTGTTTTAAATATCTGAAATAAAGTTTTTATCCACAGTTTTTACTCCATACTTTTGTTCATTTATTTTTAAGCAGTTATGAAGAACTGTGGGGAAAGCTTAAACTTGTTGGGTGTTTAAAGCTTTTCCTCTGCATACATCTCCCAGAATCCTGTGCAGTTTTAGATTAGGGTTCAGGGAATTTTCTCTATATTGAAATACATTATTATTGATTTATTTCCTGTCCCTTTGCAGACCTAATATTGGACATTTATCTTGCAGACCTCCAGCCCAGGATCTATGTATTCCTCCACCGGTCCCTCCAACAGCCTGACTTGGGGAACCACCTTCAGCAGCTCGTCTGTGCCGAGTAGAGAGGGCACCCTGGGTGGGCACGGCGGGGCGGGCAGTGTGGGATTCCCTCAGTCAGCAGCATGCACACCAGCAGCGAGTCCATCGACATGAGCCTGAGCAGCGCCGGCGGACTCGGCACACACCAGGAGGACACCATCTCTGCTCTGGGTCGCGCGGGAGCGTCAAGACCGGCATGTCAGAGAGGTAAAGACGGACAGGATGTGTTCCGGGAATGACTAGGAGATGGAAACTTTTGTTTGTTTGCTGCTATTTTACTGAACAACAAGTTAAAAAGTTTGCATAACTATTAACGTACTTGTTTGATAATTGCATCGTTGTTCTCAGGTTCACTGCAGAAATATTTACATTCTTTGAACAAACTTCACTGTATGTAAAAAACACAAACTCTTACCCAGTTTGTCTAGTTTCTATCTAAGCATAGTTAGAAAAAACACTAAAATATCTTACAAGTAACGTTTGAGCAAGGAATAACGGCTTATCTGACATAAATTATTGTTAATATTAATGAAAAAGAATTGGTTCCTCTGGCAGATTATTTTACTTATAACAAGATATGTTTCCCATGTTTTAAGAAAACAACCTGCCAATAAGAAGTTATCTTAAATTATTTTATAATAGAAATAATAATTTCAGATTATTTTTATTCTGGCAAACTTTGAATTATGAAACTCAGAAATTATCTTGTTTTTCCAGAAAATTTCTGAGAATTTATTTTTTTTACTAGCAATTGTTCAACTTTTCCAACTCAGAAGTTTCCATATTTCTTCCGGGAGCTTTTCAATAATCTCAACTTTTCTGTTTTTTGAAGAATATTTTCAGCTTTTCAAGATAGAAATGTCCTTTTAAAGAAAACTTCAGAGATCCTTCTCAAAATTTCTGAGTTTTTTTCTAGTAAATTTTTGACTTTTCAAGCTCAGAAATGTACTTTTTTTTACTCGGCAATTTCTGTGCTTTATCTAAAAATTTCAGTTTTTTTGGGTGGTAATTTGATATTTTTCTTTTACTTGCAATGACCCTTATCTGGCATCGTATATACGCTTTTCCTAACTGTCAGACAGCAGGACCAGACTTCTATTACAGACAGGAAATCCAAAACCTCCTAAACAATCCTTTTATTTCCTTTTTAAATTTCTGAATTGATCAGTTGCATAAAGCAGCCATGCTGTTGGAGTCGTTTGTAGTTCGTAATCTGTATGCAGCTGTGGCGAGGAAAACTATCTTGATTCTTGTCAGTAGCAGATTCCTTCCTGACAGCTTGACTGTGCAAAGTGACGAGAATGCCTCAAAGGAAACATTTTATCATTTGAGCTCCAGACTGTGACATTAGTGAGGTTTCTCTGCTGAATCCTTGCTGTTGATTTCTGCTTTGAGACATTCCTTCATCTGTCTGACTCTCTAAAACTTTGCTGTTTCTCTTGTGTCTGTTGTGCGTTTTCTTTTCCCCTTGCTGTCTTCCATCAGTCCCCTCTCCTCGCCCTCCGCTAGCCCCATATTCAGCCGAAACACGCTACCTCGGAGGCAGGACAGGTAAATGTACCTGTGTGCAGTTTTAGGCTGTTGCTGAGGTGGGTGGTCCTGCTAAAGCACCACCTGCTGCCACACAGGAGCCCCGGCCTCTGGGATTACAACCTGTAATCTAGCCTCAGCGTTTGTCCCTGTGTGGTAGTCTGTGGTTATTTTTAGGACTCCTTGAGATGAATGGAAATTATGAGTTTCAGGTTATGCGTTTTAGTTTAGCTGTCACATGCTGCCATCTTGTGGTTGAGAATAGAGCTTACACCACAATTGGGTTTTTCTGTTTCCACTGAAATATTAAATATCTGAAAAATACTTGAGTGTGAAGTCCTTGCTTGTCTAGTTTTCTAGTTAATCTTGAAAAATATTGTTTATTTATTTATTTATTTTTGCTAAAGCTTTTGATGTTCTGAAAAAATGAATAAATAAATAAAACTATCCAGTTTGGACATTATTTGCTTTCTATAACAGAGGATTAGGGCCACTGAAAAAAAGCAAAAGAAGTATGACTTTAATCTCAGAAATTTAATCTCTGGATCCTGACTTTTTTCTTTTTTTTTTTTTTTTTTTTTAGAATTTTGACTTTTTTTTCTTGGAAGTTTGACTTTAATTTTCTCAAACTTCTGATGTTAAAATAAGATTTTCTTTTCCAGTGGCCCTTCTCCTCTTCTGTAGTTTGCAGCAAAGATATTTCATTGTTAAAATAATTTTAGCTATTTATTCAGAGACACGTTTCTTGCCTCCTCCCTCCATTTGTGTTCCTCTTCTGAAGTGTTTCTCTCCCACAGCGGGCCACATTGTGGTAGAAACACTCTGCCTAAGAAGGATTCAGGTACCTCATTTGTTTTCCTGTTGGGCACTTTGCACCTTTCCACTCCGGTTTACCAGCCTCTGCTTTATTTTTTTATTTTTTCGCAGCGTCCACATCGTCTTGTTAAGGCTTCTGTTCACACTTTTCAAAATCAAGATTTTGTTTGGCACTTAGCACATGTGTTGTCGTGTCGAGTGTTTGTCCCTGTACAGATTTATCAGTGTGTTGGGGCAGGCATGATTTTTTTGTCTTTGCTTCGGGGGTCAATTTTTCTCTCTTTTTCCCGTCTTTTCTGCTTTTTTCCGTTGCTCAAAGCTTTTAAAACATTCATGCAGTTGTAATATGTTGCTGCAGCATCTGTCTCATCTTCATGTCAGATCCTGGTGATTAATCTGGCTGCTTGAAGCAAAATAAACAACAAAATCCAGCTCACTTATTGTTAAAACAATTATAAAATCCCATATCCTCCACACAAAATCTCCAGTTTGATGCCCTGGCTTCGGTTTTAACCCAATTCTTTGACTCTCTGCAGGTATGGTCCGTCTCAGCAGCTGCGAGGTCATGAGGACCGTGATTGGCTGCGCTCCCACTCCACCAGTGGGCTGCAGGACTCCGCCAGTAACTCACCGTTCTCCCCCGGCTCCAGCCTCACCTCTCCCTCTGGAACTCGCTTCAACTTTGGACAGCTGGGTAGGCCACTCACAAAGAAAACAACCTTATATTCACTGGCAAATCTGTAAAGTGTGGCATGCATTTACTTTGGTATTGCTTACTAAATCCAGGTCAATCAATCGTTTTAAAGACATATAATTAATAAAGTCACTCCACCTTTCTGTGTGATTTGATCGTCACTTTAAATTCAAATAATCTGCTTCTCAATGTTTACACTCAAATATGAAAATAGCTGCAAACAACTGCAATTTCAGAAGCGTACATCTTAGAAAAGCAGAAGTGGAGCCTCCTGCACAATCAACACAAATGCAGCAAGAGGTTTCTGGATGGTGAGTCAACAGCAAAACACTTGTGTTTTCCAGCAGCCATTGTGCAGCTCATACAGCATTAAAACCAGCTGAACAAACATGCTGTAGCTCCACTGGGGTTGCTAGGTAACGACCCATTGCTGCTCAAATGTGACTCAACAACCAGAAAGGTTTTGAAGTCAAAAACAATTAACTTTTTGCTGGAAAACAGCTGAGTTACGCATTTTTGGAAGCAGTTCAGACCACAATGAACATACAAAATTGTGCAAAATGTGAATTTTGTGTACTTGGTCCCCTTTAACATAAATGCAGGTCACATTTTTAGGATTTGTATTTGGAACAATGTTTGCTTTTTGTTCCTGTTTTAATTATGCAATAGTTTGTGTTGCTTTATCACATAAAATCCCAATAAAACACAAAAGCTTGTCTGTCAGGATCATACATGAATACCTTAGTGAAGCACTGTAACATTATGGACAGAGAGCTGGTTCATTTTAACTCGACCAGCTCATGTATTTAAATTTATGCAAAATATCTTATTTTACATAATATAACCTGCACATAAATGCTGCTCTGGTTGTATCGTTTCTGCAGCATCCAGCCCAACCTCTGCAGGTCAGATCAACCTCGCTGGTATGCGCAACAACAGCCTGACCAATCAGGACACTCCTTTTGACCCGTGCAGCGACAGCCGACTGAGAAACTCGTGCATGTCGCTGGACGAGAAGACCCGCACCATGAGCCGGTCGGGATCTTTCAGAGACGGCTTCGAAGAAGGTAAGAACTCTGCTGTTGTTTCTGTTTCACACTTGGGATGAAATCAGATTTAAATACGTGTGAACCAGTTCAAAGGTCTCCTACTTCTGCTTCCTTATTTGACTTAAACAATTATTAGTATTTTTGTTAATAGAACATTAAACATGAAAAGCCATTGTTTTCCAAGGGACCATTTAAGTTTCATGGCTCGAGAAAAATGTAACTTAAAAGCTTGCTGGTACCCGATTTGTGTAAAATTGGGGAAATGAACATTAAAGTTTTAAAACACGAACAAAAGTTGCAATCAATAACAAGAAAGCGAAGTAACCATTTTCGTAGATGTTTTGCTGAGATCAGAAGTGAATTAAAAGCTGTTTTAAGCTCCGGCTTGCCAACTAAACAGCATTCAGAGGAATGGTTCATGTGGTTGAATGAAATAAGAGCAATGTTCTTTTTGAACCATTCTGAGATAAACTTACAAATGTATTAAGTTGGAGTTTTTGCAGAACTAAGTATAGACCTTCCCTCATCGTGCACATTGTTTCCAAAAACCAATATGGAATGTTTTAAATATCAGGATTGGTACAGATATTAATCAGAGCATCTCTAGTTTGTATCGTGTTTTAGCTTATTTTATTGTGCATGAGCAGCTGTCCGTCATCCATTGAACAACTTGTCTTGAAAGCCTTGCGTCTGTTTGAAAATCACAGATGAAGGCATGTTGTTTCACCTCAAGCGCCTGTAACATATCTGTCCTCCTCTCGTTTCAGCAGAGGGGATAATTACAGGGATCGCTGTGTGAGGTGTGAGTGAGACGTGGCGACATTTAGAAAAACCGCCGAGCTAAACTTACTCCCTCCCACTTTCACTCTTTGTCTTGGTTGCTGCCTCTGCTGTGACATGCAGCTTGTGTGCATGTTCATGTTTCTGAAGTCTAGAGTTTTCCTCCAGACACAAAAGGCGCATCATCCCTGAAACACTTTGTTGTGCTTAACGAGAGCAACAACGCCGCACTTTGTCATCTCATCCGCACCAAACTAAATCCCCCCTGCTCACATTTATGTTTGCAAATATTTTTTCAGCTTAAAGGAGAAACGCAGACATAAATTTACTATTTTAAATGATAGTTTACAGCTTCTGGGTTGCTTGTCTGAACTAGGAGTTGGGGATTCATTTTATTTTATTCGAGTGAAAGATGATTTTAAAAAGGTGAAAGTTTTACAAATTAGTGGTAACTACTCAATTCATTACTGGTTCCATTCAAGGCTCTGAGAGTATAGAAAAATGTAAAATCTGCCAATCGATTAGAACATTTAATATATGAATATGCACACAGATGCATTAAAATGCAAGCAATTATCTTGTAGCAGAAATCAGATTAAGCAATCTTCCACTTCTCAACAGTTCTCAGTTCTACAGGTTTTTATATTGAGGAAGGTTTAAAGTAATTTGGTTTTGTTCATTACTTGGTCAATTTTTGCAGAATTCACAAGTTAGTGGTATTGTATTGTGATTATGTTTACATCTATTGGGTAGTAAATAGTCAACAGAAAACAACAGTTATTAATTTCCAGTTAACTGAATTAACCAAAGTTAATTCAGTTATTGTTGAACAGCAAACTGACTGAAGTTTTCTCCCAATTTTTACTGTCGCCATTTTGCAGACTAGCATAAACGCTGCCAGGATTATGGAGTACCGTAATTTACTGACAAGTGATGTAAACTGCTTGTGTCACATCAGTTCAGAAGGTGAATAAATAGAATCATAAACACAAAAATGAGGGACAATACATGTATAATTTGTCTGTTTTAATTAGTTTCATAAATGCACACTATAGTTTCAGTTAGTTACCATTTTCCATCCATTTTTTTTTTTTCTGTTAATGAAAATGTTATTGCAATTACAATTTTGGTTATTTTGATAGATTTAGGACATAAGGACAGTTATTTCCTCCACCTCTTGCTGCAGAGCGAGGGGCATTCCCAAACCAACCAGAAGATATAATCTTTCTGCTGGGTCCTGGGTCTACCTGAGGCTTTCTCCCAGTGGGATGTGTGAAAAACAAACACCTCTCCCCAGTCCCCGAACTAACCAGACCCGCTCTTCTTGATGGACATGTTAAGCCATGAGTTGCTAACCACCAACATCTTTAAAAAAATCAGAGCAACAATAATGTTTCATGTGTTCCTTACCTCTCACCCACTGGCTGCAGGGTTAGGCTCAGGATGGATGAATGGATGGATTAAAAAGTATTTGTTTGAAATAACAGGAGATGATGAAACATGACTGCAGTTTTCCAATAGCCCAAGAATCTGCTGGTTTATTTAGAGGGTTCAAAAACTTGAAATATATATATATATATAAAAAAATAATGCTGGGATTTTTTTTCAAAGTTTGGTTAAATATCTGAGTCTGAAATCAAACTTTTACAACTTAAAGGGGACATTTTATGCTGAATTCACCTTCTTAATGTTTTGGTACTTCAAATTGGGTTTCTGCTTCTTCTAAACACAGACCAAGAAATTAACAAACCCGACCCAGGTGGTTTTCAGCAATAAGTGGATGTTTTTTGAAAAATGGGAAATGAACCATTTCAAAACCCTCTGAAATGTAACGTCACAAATCAGTGGGCATGACCCGTTACCTAGCAACCCCAGTGGAACCCAGCCCGTTACCTAGCAACCCCAGTGGAACCCAGCCCGTTACCTAGCAACCCAAGCCAAGCTCCAGCACCTTTGGTCAGCGGGTTTTACTGCCGTATTTGCTGTACGAGGTCTGCTTGAAGAGTCAAGTGTTGGAAGCCATTTTTATGTGAGTGTAAAGTTGAGTTGGGGGGCGTGGCAAGCAGCAGCTTATTTGGATTTAAAGTGACAGGAGGCCATAAAACATTTCACAATAGGCAGAAGTGGGCAGATGAAAATCTCATAATCTAAGTATGATTATTGTGCAAAGAAATGTAATGAACTTGTTTTGTATATCCCATTGCATAATGATCAACTTTAAACGATATCTGCGGCTGAACAGCCACGACAACAAAGCAAGGATAAAGTCTCATTATAACAACGTAAAACTGTTATCAAAACAAAACGAGCTGAAGATCTCGTTACCTTGAGATCAATTGTTGGTGTTTTCTCGACACAATGAGTCGCCCACCCAAAGAGACAAGGACAAGTTGGAGATTAAATTAACTTGAACTGTATATTTGCAATTTGTCCATGAATTTGCAATAAAGTTTGACTGCGTTTTCATTTAACTGAAAAATTTAAAACAGCCATTCCACTTTAAAAACAAAAATCACATTTTTGGCTAAGTTGTTAATAAAGCAGTGCAGCCTGATTGTTTTGTCTCTCAGTGAAAACTAAATGTTCTGCTTTCGTGTGGGTCCCTGCACACCTTCCTGTGTAGACCCAACAAAGATAAGAGTGAATCTTCTGTAAACTCCTATCTGCCTCCTCTAACAGAACAAATGCTTCTTTTGCGGATCGGGCCGACCTCTCGCCGTGGTTTCTGACATCACACTGCTGATCCCTTCTAATCTGCTCCCAGACAGGGAACAGTAACGGCACTGTTTTCCCTACATGTGCGATTAGCAGCTGAGTCACTGCAGTAAAGTTCAGCTTGTCATTAGCTTCGCTATGGTTGGGCTGTATATCTGGAGGAGTTTTATCTTTGTAGCCAGGAATTAGACTCCGCCTGGACACAACTGGGAAGACTGGGTAGTTTGTGTGGGGAGACTGTGGGAGGTCTGGTGGTAATCGCAGCAGAGCCGGCCCAAGGTTGTCTGGGGCTTTGAGCTGATTTGGGGACCCAACTTCCTGCCCACCAATTATAACCCCACCCTGCAAAAACATAAAATCTAGTTTCTAGTACAGATACTTTAGTGTATTTAAAAAAAGACAAATCTGACATTTCATTTCTTTAAAACTTCTGGTAATTGTAATAATTTAGTTTTATCATTGCCATGATAAATCACAGTTAATGTCAAAAAATAGATCTAAAATATATATATTTTAAAATTCTTCAGGTTTTTTTTTTTACAATCACATAAATAAGTACCAATAAATTTAGTGACATAAATCACATTTCGTTATGTGATGGTGTGTTTTTCGGTATTTATGTTCACGCTCTGCCATGCAGTCTTGGCCAAACAGTCACTGAAACCTTTTCTTTGTTTCTGCAGTTCATGGCTCATCTCTGTCTTTGGTGTCCAGCACTTCTTCCATTTACTCCACGGTGAGTTTACACTCCAGAATTGGTCTGAATTGTGCTCATATTTTTATCTTCCTGAAGGCGACGATTCTTCTGTCACACATTTTTTACTTTTTACCAGTGCCGTCAAAGCCGAGCATAATTTTACATCCAGCAGCTTTTTTAAGGCCTTGCTAATAAAATTTTTTTTTAAATCTATTACGAGAAGAAAATTGTAATATTACAATTATAGTCATACAAAAATAAAGTCATATTAACATGAGAATAAAGTCAAAATATTACAAAAATAATTTAACATAATTATTGATTCTCATAATGTTATGACTTTATTCTCCTAAAATAACTGTATTCTTGTAACATTCTAACTTTATTCTTTTAATAGTACAACTTTATTGTTGAAATATTATGACTCTACTCTAGTGCAACTTTCTTCTCATAATTTTATAACTTTATTCTCGTAATGTTATTTTTATTTTCTTAGTGTGGCTGCAATACCCTGTTGAACCCAAAATGGACAAAATAGGAATCACTTTTATTCATGTGGAAACCGCTTCAGTTCATTTAAATATTAAAGTTTATCAGTCACTCAAACAGATATGTGACTCACACATCCTGAAAGGAGAAGGTTTAGTCGTAGGCACACAGAGTAACGGGGAACAGCCCACATGTGCACACAGAAAGTGAAGCTCCTCCTCCTCCCTCTGCGTTTGTTCGCTCACCTGAGCAGGTGTAGCACAGAATCTCTCAGACGAGCTTTGACCCTCACAGCCTGAAAGTTACAGGCTGGAAATCAGAGCGGAGCCAAAATGATGGCGACTTTATCGCTGACGGGAACGGTCCCGGCTTGGCAGCAAACGGTAGGAAACAGGAGCAGAGTGTTACGGTTTCTGATTTTATGGAGTGAGTCAGAGGCAGGTTGTTTTCTGGCTGTAAAGTTTCTTTGAAACAAGAGCGATCTGCTGTAATCAGCTTCTGGAGGAACCAAGTGATGATGTTTTTGTGTTAGTGAGTCGTTTCAGGACAAACTGCTGTGTTTGTTTCCAGGATCAGGTGGTTGCACTGCAAAAACACAAAATCTCATCCAGTGTTTTTGTGTTGTTTCCACTGCAAATATCTTAGAACACCTGAAATTGAACAAAACTAACTTTTAATCCAGGCATAAGAGCTTGTTTTAAGTAATTAATTTCTTAGAATTGATGAAAAGTACTAATTCAATTGGCAGATTATTTCAATTATAACATAGAGAAAATGTTTTGTTGTATTTAAAACAAGATAAAGTGGAACTGTATCAATATTAAGATATTTTTTACGTAAAACAAGCTCCTATATCTTACTGAAAAGATGCTTGTCAGCTTGTTTTGTCTCTTTCAGTTGAATTAAGATATTTGCACTGGAAAGTAGACCAGATATAGTTAGTAAGATTTAGGTTTTTTTGCAATGTAGGTTAGAATCACATAATTTTGTGTCCATAAAGGTGAATTGAAATAAGATTTTTGTGCTGCAAGCTGCTCCAGCTCTGCTATTTTTGCATGAGAGTGAGCTGTTTCTGCGTTTTGGCTGCGTTTCCAGGACAAACTTCTGTGTTTGCGTTTCTAGGATCAGCTGGTTGTGTCTCTCTGTGTGTTTTTGATTCTCTTTGTAAACCGCATGCCACAGTCCAGATGTGCTAAAGTTCGTTGCTCATCCACTGCTAGGAAAGCTGCAGCAGCGAGTCGCTGCAGGTGAAGATAAAAAAAGTCAAACTCACCTTAAATTTAGCTCCAAACGAAGCCGTTGTTATAATCTATAAATAAAAGTTCAGGTAGAGCCTTTTTGATATGTAAATGTGGGTGTTGCATGTGCCAGTGTTTTGGTGACCAGCATCAGGGCGTGTTGCGTTCGTGCGAGCTAGCATCTGTTTTCTATGCTCTTGCACTGTATGTCTATGTACCACCTAGTTCTTTTTTTTTTTTGGCTATTGTTCCATTTTGACAATGAAGCTCAACACACGGTGAAATGCCTTCAGGAGGATATCTCTGCTTCCCAGACATATTACACCAGACAATACGCTCCACAGTTTATAAAGCTTGTCTCCAAGGAGCTAATAAATCAAACCGGAGTCAGGAAATGTGCGGTCTGACCCGCGGCAGGTTGAAGACTCTAATGGTTTTCTCTTCTTCTGCTGTTTGTTTTTCAGAACGAGGAGAAGTCTCAGTCAGAGGTAAGCATCAGCACGCCCACAGCGATCCCAGCCTCTTTAATTTTCTGCGTTCACTAGCTGGACTTGTTGGAACATGGGCATGTTTTCACAGTTGTATCCAGTTACACAGGTAGCCATGTTGTGACTGACCTTCTTTACCCTGAACCTGTACACTGCAAAACACAGAAGAACAAGCCCCACTGGCAGATTGCTTCAAATATGAGAAAAATATCTTGTCAAAACCAATATGCTTTCATCAATATTAAGAAATTTGACTTAAAATAGCTCCTGCATTTTGCTGAAAAGTTATTTCAAGTGTACTAAAATAATTTAACTGAAAGCTAGACAAAGAAACTTAGAAAGATTTTTTATTTTTGCAGTGTATGGCATAAAACAGTGGACTTTTTAAATATGATTTTAGACTGCAAAACACAAAATATTAAGTATTTTTTGTCTAGTTTGTACTGCAAATAAATTTGTCCTCTTGAAATAAGAAAAAAAAACAAATGAGTAACTTTTTGGCAAGACATAGGAGTTTTTTTTAAGCAAATAATTCCTTTATACTGATGAAAAAGTACTAGTTTCAATGAGATTATTTCACTCATAACATGGAAAAAATTTCATGTCATAAGAGAAATAATTTTCCAGTGGAACTAGCACTTTTTCATTCAAATTACAAAATTATTTACCAAGATCCAGCTCTTATATCTTCCTTAGAAGTTATTAATAAGTTAGTTTTTCTCTTTTCAAGTGCACTGAGATATTTGCAGTGGAAACTAGGCTGTAATTACTTGGTAAGGTTTTGTGTTTTTCCAGTGAACCCAGAACAAATTGTTCAGATCAGGGATCCTCCCCTGTTTGTGACTGCGGTGTTTTTCTTATTATGCATTTGGTTGCGTGTTTGATTATTTTTTTTTTTTAATCTTGACCCCACAGATCCGAAAACTTCGCCGGGAGCTGGATGCCTCCCAGGAAAAGGTTTCTGCCCTCACCACGCAGCTGAGCGCCAATGTAAGTGAACAGGGACATCAACACACGCACTGGAAGACTTGCATCACACACCTGTACGTGACGGGCCTGGATTTTAAAAGTGGCTGTTTTTATAATCAATAATTTTGCCTTCTTTATATTTGTTTGGTTTTTAGAAGACAGTTTTTAAAAATACTAAAACAGATGTTATAAACTGTAAATTTAAGCACAAAACTGAAATAGAAGGCCAAATTCACCTTCTATTGTATTTGAATTTCCTTTTATTTGTAGCTTATTTTTTAAAAACAAGTTCACCTCTTTTCAGACTTTGTCTTTTAAAGCTTCACAAAGTAGAGAAAATTTGTCTCCATCACGCACTGAAACACAAGTACTTACTAATCCCTTACAGAAAGATGACACAAAAGGTATAATTTTACTACTGGCAGAGCCATCAGAGAATCTCTTAAAGCATCTCTAGACACGAATGTTTCTGCCTGCCTCCTGCCGTTGTTGCACAAGTCTTGCCACGCTCTGCTGGTAATTGGCTCCCAGAGTGCGTGCTCTCCTCTGGATTAAAGATATGGAAGGAAGGTTGTTGGAAAACAGCAGGTACTCAAGTCCCGGCACACCGCCGGTAGATTTAAAGCAAAGATTTTACAGTAAGTGACGCCTCCATACAAGCAGGAGCATCGCAGAGATGCAGAGAGAGACAAAATATTGTTGAAATATTTAACGTTGTGTCCCAGGCTCATGAATTGTCTGAGCAAACCTTGATGCCCCTGAGGCAGAAAAATGAAAAAGACCAAACATGAACACGCAAATCAGCCAGCACAGGATCAAATCTAGAGGAGTTTGTTCACCCAGTGTGGTTAAAGGGATGTGTGGTGCTATATTCGCATTTTGCATGTTTTTGTACTTCCATGTGGATCTCGAATTCTTCTGAAAACAGCTGAATGACCTGAGGAAGACTTAGATAAAGCAACTAAGTCATTTCTGCAATAAGTTGATGCTTTTTGGTGTCTGGAAAATTAGCCCTTTTAAAAACCTCTGGAATGGAATGTCAAGACTTTGCCAGCCCAGTGCATCACCTAGCAACCCCGGAAGCCCAGCTCGTCACCTAGCAACCCCGGAAGCCCAGCGCGTCACCTAGCAACCCCGGAAGCCCAGCGCGTCACCTAGCAACCCCGGAAGCCCAGCGCATCACCTAGCAACCCCGGAAGCCCAGCGCGTCACCTAGCAACCCCGGAAGCCCAGCGCATCACCTAGCAACCCCGGAAGCCCAGCGCGTCACCTAGCAACCCCGGAAGCCCAGCTCGTCACCTAGCAACCCCGGAAGCCCAGCGCGTCACCTAGCAACCCCGGAAGCCCAGCTCGTCACCTAGCAACCCCGGAAGCCCAGCGCGTCACCTAGCAACCCCTGAACCCCAGCGCGTCACCTAGCAACCCCGGAAGCCCAGCACGTTACCTAGCAACCCCTTCAAAGACCTATTGAACATATTTTGTTTAGCTCATAAACCTATCTTAACCTGTTCAAGGAAACATAATAGGACACATTTATCTGTGTTTTTCCAAAAAGTAATTCCGGTTTGTCTTGTTTCAGAGCAGACATGCATTATTTTAGCTGTATCCTCAGATATATTGATATTTCACCCTCATGGAATCATTTTGTGACGCTGGAAGGATCAGCTTGAGTCGCAGTAGAAAACCATCAGGCTCATCTTGGACTCTGTGAGACTTTAGATATGAGTTGTGTCAGCTCTAGGCTGAGCAGTTTGGATTTGGTGTTTTGTAATGTGATCATCAGCAGCGAGTCATTTATCACAGGATGTTATCTTTTGGTGATTGTTTGGGTTTTGTTACATTCTCTTGACGTCATGTTTGAGCTTTAGCCTCCAGGTTACAGCGATTAGCTCAACTGTGCCAGGACGAGGCACAGTTGCCAGTTTCAACATGCTAATGTTGATTTTTGTACAGCATAATTTAGACATTGATCCCATTAAACAACAGGAGAAATTTCCAGGATATAACGTGGCACAGATCTGCCAGGTAAAAATCAAATTTTAGCTAAGCATGTTGCTGTTTTGAGGTAAATAAGATTTTTTTTTCTGAACCACAAATTACTGTTTATTTTATGTACACAGCAAAACACTAAAAACTATTTTTGGTCTAGTTTTTAGTGCAAATATCTTACAAGTAGTTTTTAAATAAGACGTAAGAATTTGTTTTAAGTGAATGATTCCTTAATATTGATGCAGATTATTTTTATTTTACAGAAATCATGAGTACCAGTAAAATTTGAGCTAAAACCTGTTTTTGTTTTTGGTTTGCTCCACAGGCTCACCTGGTTGCAGCTTTTGAACAGAGTCTGGGCAACATGACCATCAGGCTGAAAAGTCTAACTCTGACTGCAGAGCAGAAGGTGAAAACTTTTCCTCCAGTCACCTCCAGCCGATGAGTTCTCCGGTCTAACTTCCTCTAATCCTGATTCCTGTGAAGGACTCTGAGCTGAATGAGCTGAGGAAGACCATCGAGCTGCTGAAGAAGCAGAACGCCGTTGCTCAGGCGGCCATCAACGGAGTCATCAACACACCTGAACTTGTTCCCAAAGCAGATCGGACAGGTAAAAAACAAAAAACTTGTTTTAAGTCAATAACTCATTAATATTGCTAAAAAATACTTGTTCCATTGGCAGATTATTTTTACTTCAAACAAGAATTATAAGAAAAATAATCTGCAAATGGAACCAATACTTTTTTCAAAATCAATATGAAGGAATTATTTGCTTCAGACAGGCTCAAATACTTTGCTGAAAAGTCACTTGTACGTTAGTTTTGTCTTATTTCTAGTGAACTAAAATTTGCACTTTAAAAAAGAGTGAAATTACATGGTAAGATTTTCTGTTTTTCACAGCATGATGAAATAATTTCTGATCCAAAAATGTTACATACAGTTGAGTGGATAAATGATAAGAAAAATGGCCCAAATTTCAGTGGACAAATGAAATACAAATATAATTTCTTCCTAATTTCGTGACAATTAGCAAAGAACTGACCATGTGTCTGCAGCCAGGTGGTAAACAAAGCTATCAGAAATTTTAAAATAGTTAGAAAAATGTATTGTTGCTTGCTTTCTGACTGACAATCTTTCTCTCCAGAAACAAAAATCCCAAATGTTGAAATCTGAGCTAATTTGAAACATGCTTAAATGCAAACTTCCCCCATGTCTTCTCAGCTGGCAGTAACGGTACGATGCAGCAGCAGCAGAATCAGCAGCCAGACCTGCGCATCAGGCGGCAGCATTCCTCCGACAGCGTCAGCAGCGTCGCCAGCGCCACCAGCCACTCCAGCGTGGGATCCAACATGGACGCAGACGCAAAGAACAAAAAGAAGAACAAAAAGAACTGGGTAAGAGTCTGGAGATTTACAAATGGAGCTCAATAAATTTGAATATTATTGGAAAGTTTATTTGTTCCAGTAATTCAAAGTGAAACTCATAAATAAATTAGGGCTGCAGATCCGCTTTTTTCACTTTGAAACCAATACAGACATCTACAATGGAATATTAGGCCAATGGCAATTGGAGAAAAAACTAAATTTAAGACAAAAGCTCAGCAATTTTGGGATTGATAAGTCTTTAAATAAAACTTGAAAATTTCTGATTCTGAAAAGTCAAACATTTGCAAGACAAAAATCTGAAATTTTTGAGACATTTCTGAGATTTGTTAGATTTAATCTTCTGGAAAAACTTTAACATTTCTGAGTTTTAAAAGCTGAAAATTTGTGGCTTTTAAAAGTGAAATTTCAAGTTTTTTACTATAAATTTCAGGTTTATTTTTACTTTTCAGCTTCCAGTTTTTAACAAGTAAATTTTAAACTTTTCAAGTTCGGAAATGTTTCAACTTTTTGTCTTGAAAATATGTGATATTAATCTCAAAATTAATTGGTGGAAATTGTCTCCTCTTTCTTTTTCTATCTTGCTGATCTGATAGAAAATAAAAGCTAAAATAACCTAAAAGTTGTTTCTTATTTCTAAATATGTAATGAATTGGATATTTATTTCACAACTCTGCACCAAAACACAAATAGCTTCTAAATCCTGGACAAACATGTAAGTGCAGTTCGGAGGATAACAGCCAATGCAAAGTAAATTATAAAGAAACTGAAATGGACAAAAACAAAAGTTTAGTATTATATGTAAAAAAGTAAACTGCAACAAACCTTCTTTCAAATAGTTCAGAAAGTGCAATTATGAATTGTAAATATGACATAAAATAAATAATAAAGCATCAGTATCAGATTTGTGTGTCTCTAATATACATTTGTTACGTTTCAATTGTTATTTCTGTTTATGTGGATTCTGGGTTACAAATTAGGAAAATCCAACAATCATCAAAATAAACAGAAACAAATATTTGAATTGTATCAAACTCTATAATGAATTGGCAAATAAATTATCTTTTCTAAGTGACCGAGATGAACCTTTAAATATTATAAATGAATTCATTCAGTTCTGATTCAGAATTTCAGGACTTTTTGCTGTTTTTCTGTTGAACTTCCTGTTTGGTGTCACATGTTTCTGGGTTTTTCCTCCTTCAGCCGACTTTTTCTGGGGATAAGGTGAATACACCAGACGTAGTTCCGTGTCGTCCTGTAACGTCCTACTAAAAGGTTTGATTTGGTGTTTTTACTGTCCAAAAGATGCTTTCAATTGGTAAATGAAGTAAATCACCAAATCAATGTTGACTACATGGTTGGTGCAAACATTTAGAAAAACAGCAACTTAACACTTAAACTTTTCTTCTTCTTCTCTTTTTTTTGTTTTTTGCAATCAAAAGGCACTTTTGTGCACCACTGGACAAATCCAGGATGATGATGTATGCAACCTGTTTTTATTTTAAACCTTTAAATCCTGCAAAACATAAAATCTGACCAATTTCTATTTAGTTTCTATTTTAATACACTTGAAATAACAAAGAACTAACTTAGCAGTAACTTTCTGGCTTGTTTTAAGTCGATAATTCCTTAATATTAATTTTTTTAAAAGTACAAATTATTTTACTTAGAATATTTTTCCCATTTTAAATGTGAAATAATCTGAAAGTGGAACTTGTACTTTAAAAAAAATAAATACTAAGGAATTATTAACTTTAAACAAGCTCCTGTATCTTGTCAAAAAGTTACTTGCAATATATTTTTATATTATTTGTAGGGTATTTTCCTTTTTTGTGCCTGAAAAAAGGCTTAAATACCTTGTAAGATTTAGTGTTTTTGCAGTGTACATCCTCATATATATATATATATATATATATATATATATATATATATATATATATATATATATATATATGTTTAGAGACATTTTGTCAGTAAATATTCCTCTTTTAGGTCATACACTGCAAAATCACAAAATTGTACCAAGTATGTTTGTCTCATTTCTAATGCAAATATCTTAGCACACTTAAAAAATGACTAAAATATTTTACAAGTATTAGAAAGATATAGGTCCTTGATTCAGGTCAATAATTTTTTTATATTGATGAAAAAAAAGTACTAGTTCCACATACAGATTGCTTCACTTATAACATGTGAAAGATGTGATGTTATAACTGAAATAATCTCCCAGTGGAACTGACATTTTTTTATCAATATTAAGGAATTGTTTACTTAAAACTGGCCAAAAAGTTACTTGTAAGTCAGTTTTGTCTTGTTTCAAATGTTTTTGCATTGGAAATGAGACCAAAAATACTTGGTTAGATTTTCTGTTTTTGCAGTGTAGAGACAGAACTTGATCTCCCTTCCTGTGTGTGTGTGTGTGTGTGTGTGTGTGTGGGGTGTGTGTGTGTGTGTGGGGGGGGGGGGGTGTGGGGGTGGGGTGGGGTGTGGGTGTGTGTGTGTGTGTGGGGGTGTGTGTGTGGGTGTGTGTTTTGTCAGCAGCTCCTGGCTGCAGGTGTTGCTCACAGGTGTGTCATGCTGAGTGCATAGGGGCTCCGTTAAGTGGGGGGTCTCTAGTGGAGGATGAAAGACTCCCATGTTTCAAGGTCGTTGGTGGCTTTCGACCTTGTAGGAATCTCTAGCTGAGTCTTTGTCCCTCCGTAGAACATTAAAAAAAACATGAGCCGCATGAACATGTGCTGTTTTGTCTCCCTGTCTTCCTCTGCTTCGCTTCGTGCGGCAGGTCTACGAGGTAAGAGCGGTATGCTGCAACAGAAACCAGACTCTAACCCCTGCACCTCCTCTAGGTTACTAACCACACTTCCTTTCTTTTCCCGATTGATCCGTTTTTCCTCTCCAACACTTCCTTATGAATGGTTCTTATGACTTGAGCCGGTACACACTCCTGCTGAATACATTTATTGGTTCTGCTGGTAAAGATGTGTAAAAAGTGTTGAAATAAATTCTACCTTAATGTGGCCAATGCGAATCTCTACTATGTTAATAAATAATTTTGCTTGTATTGTTTTTTTCTGAAAAGCTTTTTATACCAAGTATTCTTGTCCCAGTTTCTAGTGCAACTTAGTGCACATGAAATAAGCCCAAACTAATTTATATGTGACTTTTCAGCAAGACAAAGAAGCTTGTTGCAAGTCAATAATTCCTTAATATTAATTTTTTTAAGTACAATTTACTTGAACAAGGTTCTTTTACTTGTGACAAAACATTTGTCCTGTCTAAAAGATGAAATAGGGAGTGAAATTTGTACTTTCTTATCAATATTAAGGAATTAACTTAAATCCAGCTCATATATCTGCTGAAAAGTTACTTATCTCATCTGTGTCACATCAAATGTGTTCCTCAAGAAAACAAAGTTACAAATTAAAGGTTCTTGGAAAAACAAGGAAGTAAAATGTGAAAAGAATATTGGTTGCTATTGTTACCAGTAAGTTCGTTAGGAGCATTTTTTTCCATGCACAATAAATACATTAAAATTAAATGTGAGATTTTACTACTTTTTTCAACCTGAACATATTTTACACATTATTTCCAGTTGTGCCCATGAATGTAACTGGCACTGTGTGTTTAATTGAGCATCTTTTACTGCAAATGTTTTGAAGTTTCTCAAACTGCTTTATCTGCAGCAATTAAACTATAAAATGTTTTCAAAAGCTCAAAATCGGTCATAAGACTTTCTGCCTGTGATTCTTTTTCTCCCTAGGCCTTTGTTTGATTGTCTGCAGCTTTTATCCCCGCTACATCCTCCTCTGACTATGACCTTTCAACCTCGCCGCCTTACCTTCCATTTCTCTTTTCTTTTTTTTTTTACAGCTGCGCAGTTCCTTTAAACAAGCGTTCACCAAGAAGAAATCTCCCAAATCCGCCTCGTCTCACTCAGACATCGAGGAAATGACGGACTCATCCCTGCCGTCCTCCCCCAAACTGCCTCACAACGGCACTTCAGCCTCCAGCCACATCCTCAGGAACACACACTCCAACACTCTGTAAGTTTGATGCTCAGCTGCTGTAAATATGAAAGCTTTCCACAGCTGGACTCACCTACAGTCTTGAAAGGTCCTTCCGGAAAAGGCAAATACGCAGATTTGTCTGCACAAAAATTGTGGACATTCAGAGAGGTGCATTTCTTCTTAAAAAATGTTCATTTGACTGAGGGATTGTTCAATTAGTTCAATAGTTGAATTCAATTCATTTTAATTGAATTCAACATGGTGCATATGTTGAGTTTATTTCTTACATTGCAAAAACACAAAAGTAATTGTGTCTAGTTTCCACTGGAAATATCTTGGTACACTTGAAATAAGACAAACCTGACTTATAAGTTTCTTTTAAGTCAATAACTCTTAATATTGATTTAAAAAGTGCTATTTATAAGTAAAATAATCTGCCAGTGGAACAAGATATTTGATTTTATAAAACGAGAAAAATGTTCCGCTGACAGATTATTTCACAGTTTTTGACTTAAATTAGCTCCCATTTCTTGTTGCAAAGTTACCGTTGAGTTAGTTTTCTCTTATTTCAAGTGCAAAATAAAGTAGATCAGCAATACTTGGTAAGATTTTGTGTTTTTCCAGTGTAACTCAATATAAATTGATAAGCGAGGTTGATATTGGGAGTCAGTATTGATACATTTTTTATCAATTCCCACTCCTAAGTAAATATGCAGTCCTTGTTAAAGGTGAATTCTCGGAATGATCTCAAATGTTTTGTGTTTTTGCAGATTGTCGGAGTGTTTGGACAGCGAGGCCGAGACGGTGATGCAGCTGCGGAGTGAACTCAGGGAAAAGGAGATGAAGCTGACCGACATTCGCCTGGAGGCCCTCAGCTCGGCGCATCAGCTGGACCAGCTTCGGGAGGCCATGAACCGCATGCAGGTCCGCAGATCCGCAGAACCCAAACAGACCGAAACCTCGTTATTCCCCTGCCGGTTAACATTTTCTGACTTTGGTTCGGCCAGCTGGAGATTGAGAAGCTGAAGTCGGAGAATGACCGCCTGAAGCTGGAGAGTCAGGGCAGCAGGACGGGATCGCAGGCGTCCATCTCAGCGTCTCCTCCGCCTCACACACAAAGCCAAAGCGCGGGCCCCGCTGCGGGTCTGTCCCAGCACAGCCTCAACCTTACCACCAGCGAGTCCACCAGTCTGGGTGAGACGCACAGGCTGGCTACCTGGAAAACTTCATGAATAAGTTTTATCAACATATTGTGTGGTATTATTGTGTAGAGGAGGATTAGGGCCTCTGAAAATTCTGGACAAAGTCAAAACTTTGAGAGAAAAGTCTGAATTCTGAGATTCAAGTGTCTGTACTCTTCTTCCTTACAATAGTACTACTAAATAAAATTTTAAAAAGCCAAAATTTTGATATAAGATAAAGTCAGAATTCTAAGAAAAACAGTCTGAATTCTGATTTTAAAATTTTTACAAAAAAGTTTGAATTCTGAGCTTAAAGTCAAAATTATGAGGAAAAAAATTATTCTGGGATTAAAATCAAGATTCTTACTTTTTTTTAAAGTCAGAATTCAGAAGGAAGAAACTCAAAATTCTGAGATTAAAGTTACAATTCTGAGAAAACCATTTGAATTTTGAGATTTAAGTCACTGTACTTTGGTGACTTAAATTTGTATATAAGCAATTAAATTTCTGAAGATTAAGCCACTTGAAACATTTTAAATATCTAAAATAAAATACAAACAATTATAATTAAAAAGGATTATGGAATCTTTGCATCCAAAATTGCATTTAAAGAAATGTTAGTTAGTTGTCAGCCTAAAAAATAAGCAAAGTGGCAGTTAGTTGTAAAAAAAAAAAAAAAAAAAAAGAAAACTGACTACATTATTCTGTGTGTTAAATGTTTTCAGGATTTTTCAAAATGGCTGCTTTTCAGTGACATTAAAGAGGACAATCTCTAACTATAATTGTTCAACTGGAAATTATTACGCTAATTTCAATTTATAATGTGATTAATTGATTTATTACTTATTGTGATAGGCCTTCAAACTAAATAAAATAAAACTGTATTTCATTTCTTTTCCTGTCAGACATGCTGCTGGAAGACACGGGTGGAGACGGTGGGACGAGGAAGGAAGGTCGGCACGTAAAGATTGTAGTCAGCCTCGACGCGGAGATCAAATGGGGGGAGGTGAGACCTGCGTTGTGACAGGAGTGGCGTGAAGAGCGCAGCTCAGAGTCTGACAGCTGCTTGTGTTTTTTAGGAGAGTCAGTCTCGCCACTTCCTGATTGGTTGCATCGGAGTGAGCGGCAAAACGAAGTGGGATGTTTTGGATGGAGTGGTCCGGCGCCTCTTTAAGGTAAATAGACACGTTTTTGTACTTCCACTTTGGTGTCAACTGCTTCTGAAGGCGACTTTAAATAACACTTAAAATGTCACTGTAACCCCTAGTGACCCCAGCGAAGCCCAAGCTGAGCTCCAGATCCCTTCTCTGTAAAAACACAATGTCTTATCCAAGGATTTTTGGGCTAGTTTCTAATGCAAATATCTTAGTACAATTAAAATAAGACAAAACTGACTTATAAGAAGATTTGGCCAACAACAATTTATTTGGATTTAAAGTGGCAGGAAGCCCTGAAACAGCCCATAAACATATCCTAGCATAATACGTCACCGTTAGCTCTCATCCATGGTTGCACATCAACACATTTAGCTAAAACCTGGTCCTTTAATCTTTTGCAGGAGTATATCACTCATGTTGACCCGGTGAGCCAGCTCGGCCTGAGCACAGACAGCGTTCAGGGCTACAACATCGGTGAAATCCATCGGCCCAGCAGCTCCAGTACAGCCAGTACGCCTGAGCTGCTGCCCTGCGGCTACCTGGTGGGAGACAACACCATCAACATCCAGCTCAAAGGTATCGCAGCCTGCACACTGCAAAAACACAAACTTGTACCAAGGATTTTTAATCTGGTTTCAATGCAAATGATTTGAGATAAGACAAAACTATCTAGTTTTCCCATGTTATTGTTGGTTAAAAAGGTTCATGTTGTGTTTGTGTGCAGGTGCGAGCAGTGAAAACGTCGACTCTCTCGTGTTTGACACGTTGATCCCGAAGCCGATGCTGCAGCGCTACGTCTCCCTCCTGAGGGAGCACAGACGGGTCATCCTGTCCGGGCCGAGCGGCACCGGGAAGACCTACCTGGCCAATCAGCTGGCGCGACACCTTTTGCTCCTCGAGGGCCGACCTCTGACCCCGAACGCTGTCGTCACTTTCAACGTGGATCACAAGTCCAGCAAGGTAAAAAAAAAAAGCTCAGTTTTTGTGTTTTTCCGTTTTTATCAGTTTCCCAGACTTGAAGCTACAATAAGTAACTTTTATAAAATGTTTTTTGCATAAGTTAGATAATCTGTGAAAAATGTGAGCTACTCTTTTACCGGTGCTAATTAAAGAAAATCCAATCAGAGCCAGGAGCCAGGAGCCATGACTCCCAACATCAGAGCTAGACATAAATGCTAATGCTAGTTAGCATAGCTACAGATGATGGTGGATGTACAATGTTTCTGTAACGTTAAGTTGTTTCTCCTCTACTAACGCATTTAGCAGCGCATTCCTGAGGATGATTGAAAGCACTAAGACCTTCCTCCTGGCTCTTGTTGTTTTTGGTTGTGAATTTCTTCAGATGGCAATAAAAAAAAAAAAACTAAGATGAATCTCAGACATTTTTTAGAAAAATAACTTGGAAATTTCCGTTTGAAAAGTCGACAATTTGCCAGAAAAAAAATGGCAAATTGTCGGAGGAAGTGTAATTTTTAGTTCTCTGGTTTCTCTCTCCAGTTAATACAGGAAGGCGAGGGATGAAATTTTCTAGCAGAAAACTTTAGTAAATTTTCAAGTTTCAAAAGTTGGAAATTTTTGACTTTTGAAACTAACTAAAAATTGTCAACGTTTTTTGGGCAGAAATTTACTCATTATTGAAGTTTTTTCCATCTACAACAGTCCTAATACGCAAAAAGGTGGAGGATCTTGTTTTTTTTTCACAGATTATCCGTCATACCGCACTATCATAACACAGAAAACAGACTTTTTTTTTTTTAAATAAATGTTACATACTGCTTTTTTTACAAATAGTTGTGAAAAACTTTATTTCTTAAGGAACTTCGTCAGTACCTGTCAGGATTAGCACAGCAATGCAACAGTGTTTGTGGGGAAGACAGCCCCCTGGTGGTCATTCTGGACAACCTCCACCACATCAGCTCTCTGGGAGAAATCTTTAATGGCCTCTTCAACTGCAACTACCAGCACTGGTCAGTTCAGCTTCACCTGCATAATAACACAAAGTTACTTATAAATTAGTTTTCTCTTATTTCAATTATACTAAGATATTTGCGCTACAAACTAGACCAAACATACTTGGTAGGATTTCATGTTTTTGCAGAGTTGTGAGTAAAATCTGTTCATTTTTTGTTCCTTTCAGTCCTTACATTATCGGCACCATGAGCCAAGCCACATCTTCAGCTCCAAACCTCCAGCTTCATCATAACTTCCGGTATATTACCAAACTACTAGTGAGATCCTCCTTCCACTGCACATTCACTTTAAACCAAATGCTGTATGTTCTTCATGAAGGTGGGTCCTGTGTGCCAACCACACTGAGCCAGTAAAGGGATTCCTTGGTCGATACCTGAGGAGGAAGCTAATAGAGATGGAGATCGGTAGCCGGACCCGAAACGCAGAGCTGGTGAAGATCATGGACTGGGTGCCGCGGGTTTGGCACCATCTGAACCGCTTCCTGGAGACTCACAGCTCCTCTGACGTCACAATCGGTGAGAAGAAGCATCGCTAGCATTGTTAAACAAAAAGAAAAACTGACTTGCAAGTAACTTTTCAGCAAGATAGTAAATGGTATGCAAATGTAAGTGAGTCATTTTTTAATACTGATGAAAAAGTATTAGTTTTAAGCTAAATAATCTTCCAGTCAAACTAGTACTTTTTTATCAATATTAAGACATTACTTAAAACAAGTTATGTTCGTCTTTTTTCAAGTGTTTATATATATATATATATATATATATATACATATATATATATATATATATATATAAAGAAATTGTTTCTATTTGATTCTACTATTTTATTAGACAACAATTCTTGGTAGGATTTAGTGTTTTTGCAGTGAAGGTGATAGATTGGAGGTAGATCTGGGTGTTTATGTTTTGGTTCTGTGGACTGCAGGACCCCGCCTCTTTCTGTCATGCCCCATGGACGTGGAGGGATCCAGGGTTTGGTTCACTGACCTGTGGAATTACTCCATCATCCCCTACATGCTGGAGGCCGTACGCGAAGGACTGCAGGTAACAGAGCTGAAAGGCTAAATATTCACAGAACTATCATCATTTTCTGGCTGTTTTTATGTGATTTTATTATTTAAATATACTTATTAGTTATTTTTATTTTGCACTGCCTTGAAGAGTTGCTATTGCTTTTTTAAAATTTGTTTTTAAAATGGAACTTAATAGTTGAAAAAGTAGTAGGTCTGTAAGCAGATTATGTCATTTGTAAAAGGAAGAGAACATTTTTGAAGATTTTGTTTTTTGCTGAGATCCAAATCTGTGCTCATAATTCTTCATGAGCTAGAAATTGTCCAATCTGAACTAATAATCAGCATTTCCCTCAGATTCTCCTTGTGACTGTTTGGTTTTTCCGTGCAGCTTTACGGCCGCCGGGCAGCGTGGGAGGATCCAGCAGCCTGGGTGATCGACTCGTACCCCTGGTCATCGACGCCACCTCCAGGCGACTGGCCTCCGCTGCTGCAGCTCCGCCCAGAAGACGTCGGCTTTGACGGCTACTCTGCACCAAGAGAAGGAGTCAGGAAAGAGCCGCCGCAAAGCGACAGCGACGCAGATCCACTGGTGAGCAAAAGCAACAGAGTTTGAAGTCAGACTAAAGTGGACAAAGCTTTCAACTACAAGTGAAAGTTCCACTTAAAATTTAGTCAAGTTAAGCTTTTGAAAATGCTGAAACGTTCAAAAGTACAAATAATATTTTCTCATGTAAGTACATTGCTGTATGCTAAATCATCCAATGTTTTGACATGTAGAGCCTGCAAAGTTTACAGCAGCTGAAATGCAATAAAAAATGACAGATGTTTCCGTTGTTCATTTTTTATTCCCCCCTTTCCAAAAAAGGAGGTTTTATCTTCGACAGCAGCCATAATAGATCGAAAAAATAATTAATTTCTGCAAAAAAAATTCAATTATTCTCTGAACTTTTCTACAAAAGAATCATGAAAAGTTGGAAAAGTTAAAAATTTGCTAGAAAAAATCTCAGAAATTTTGAGACTGAGAAATTTTCTAGAATTTTTTGACTTTTAAACTCTGAAATTTCCAGGATTTTTTTTTCTAAAAAATGTCCATTTCATTCATGAACTGCTGTTGGAGGCTCCAGAAAAACATCAGCCGAAGGGCCACATGTTGCCCACGGGCCACACTTTGGACACCTCTGAGTTAAAGCTTCTCATCGATCTCGTTCTTCCAGCTGACTTTTGTTTCTGTCGGCAGATGAATATGCTGATGCGCCTGAAGGAGGCGGCGACGTCATCGAGCCCACAGAGCTACGACAGCGACTCCAACAGCAACAGTCACCATGATGACATCCTGGACTCGTCCCTGGAGTCGACCTTATGACGTCGCAGGAGCACAAAAGCTTCACTGTTTCTACTCCTTTCTCACCGTGATGAGAACTCCTGGCACAAAATGCAGCCACATTTATCTGGGTGCAGGTAACCCAAGTGTTTAAAAAAAAGACCAGTTTCTTCAGCACTGCCGTGATTTTTTTATTTTTTCCTTCACCGCTGTGGCCCTTGGTTCCTCTGTCAGGAGTCTGACGTCTGCTTCAGCAGAAAGTAGAAGCACACAGCCTGTGCCTGTTGATGAGGCGTCCCTGTTACCATCATCATGAGTCAACAGTTTACTTTAACACCAGCCAAGCGATCGGCATCCTCCACCGTGCTGCAGCGCACCGGACCCGCCTGCAGGTGGCGATCCAACCCATGCTCTCTTGCACTGTGAGCCAGCGCAACGACCCACGATGAGCAATGAGCTCATCCTCTGCAGACCAACTCGTCTGAGTGACTGCTGGATAAAACCGGCCAAAGTGAATTTTCAGTTCAAAACACAGTATTTTCTTTCTGAAAACACACTGCAAAAAAGTTTATTTTTGGTTTAGTTTTTAGTAATGAGACAAAACTAACTTTTCAGCAAGACAGAGAAACTTATGTTAAGCAAATAATTCCTGAATATTGATATAAAAAGTACTAATTCCACTGGCAGATTATTTTTCTTACGTCATGGGATGAGAATAAATGGGCTGAGAATCAACAAATATGTGCTGCTATGAACTATCAATACTTAATAATATGTCTTATTTTGCTTTATGATCTAATTAAACTATTACACAAGACACATTCTTATAATTAAGCCTGATACATTTTTCTGAGTAACATTTGAATTTTTGCTACATTTTTCAACAGATTCATATATGAGTGGCAGATTCCTTAAAAGCAGATATTAGGAAAATATATTTGTAACATATTGTATATTTTGCCTATTTGACCAGATCCTAATTTGACACAATTTTTTTTACAAATATTTCTGAAATAAAGACAGCAAAATGGAGCAGAAAATGTATCAGATTTACTCTAAAACTTGAAAGAAAAATGTGAAAAATTTAGTTTTTTCATATTTTTGTACTTCTATTTAGGTTTCTACTCCTCATTAAAAAAAACTCTTAAAAACTCACCCAGACTTTTTTGACGGCATTTTAATGTTTTTTTGTTGTCGTTTTTCAGTGTCTGGAAAAGGAATTGTTTCAAAAACGTCTGAAACGCAACGTCTCAAATCACCAGGCGTTGCCCGTTACCTAACAACCCAAGCTAGGTAAAAAGCTGAGATACATTTAAAATACATTTCATTTGCATAACAGTTTCTAAACTCTTCTAAACACAAAAAACTACAAGTAGAGCTCTCAGTACATCACACAGAAACATAAAAAAAGAACACTGAAATACATAGTATGTTCAAAAACATATGTATTAAAATAAAATAGGACATGCAGTAAAAGCTATATGTAGAATGATTGCTGGAAAAAACGAGTGTTTTGTTGTTGAAACCAGTTTCTGCATTCTTATTGGTTGTGCAGGAGGCTCTACGTCTGCTTTTCAAAGAGCTGCAGACTAAAATCTCCATATTTAAGATTGATTTTGTGGCAAAAATGTATCAAACATGTTTTACATCTCCTATAAAAGGATCCTAACCTGTTCAAGGAAGCGTCAGAGGTGACTTTGAAGCTGGAATTCACTTTGGAGGGATTTGTCCTTTAAATGGCTGGCTGAGATGATCTGTGTCCTGATTTCTTTAATTCATCGCTTCTTTCTTTGAGCCCTCTGATCTCTCTTCGCACATTTGGCCCATGCAGGCTTTTGTAGCACAAATCTCCTTTTGGTGCTGGACTGAGTTCCAACAAACAATGCCTTACTCTTTGCTACCAGACTACGTGCATTAGCTGATTAACCTTTTTTTTGTCTGAATGGCTGTAAAACGTAACAGGGCTCCAAAAGTCGAGCTCTCCTCGAGCGGCTGCAGTTATCGAGGAGCGCCGTCGACCTCATATCAATCACCGTTGCCGTTGGAACGTTGAATAGATGCGAATCAGAAGCAGTACTTTTGAATTAAAGATCTATTTTTTGTTTGTTGCTCTTTTTGCATGAATGATCTGACAAGATTGTAAATATGAACTGCAAGAAAGAAAAATATTTCAGTGTGTTTTGGTGCTTAAAATCAGAACCTGTTGGTGACTGAGGCAAGTAAAAGACTTGATTTTATACCTCACCTCCCATCTTTTAACTGTTTTTTTTTTTCATTGTTCTGATTATGAACAAAACTCAGACATGTTGAACTAGTTTTAAAGCTGCTTTGTTTATATTAAAAAAATATACGTAAGAGGTTATTAATATAAAAGGTACGTGTGAAAAATGAGTAAAAATGGTCTGGCATGTTTATAACTTTAAAACCTTTTATTTTCTCCCTTAAACCTCCAAGCCTGCCTTCAGAGATGCTTAAATCCAGAGAATTACAAGTCCACTGTTTCAATATTTTACTCACCGATCCTATGCAACATTTAATCCAGAAATGAAAACTGAACATATGTTTGTCCCCCAGTTTGAAGATGTTTTGCATGGCACTAGCTTTGTGGCCAGCGTTCTACGACAGCAATTTAAGACCGGATAAAAAGAGTACGTTTCTGCCAAACAAAAAGCTCAGAAATTTTTTAATGAATCTGAGAAAATTTGTAGAAAAATTGGGAAATTTCCTAGTTTGAAAAATTCAAAATCTCAGAAATGTATTTTTTTTCTTTACATTTCCAAGTTTTAAGTTGAATAGTTGCAAGAAAAAGAAAAACTCATCAATTTTGAAATTAATCTCAGAATTTTTTTTTTAATTGAGAGAAAGAAAAATTGAGGTTGATATCAAATGTGGTTTTTTCTAGCAGATTTTTGAGTTTTGGAACTCAAAAATTTCAGTGCAAATTTCTCAGTTTCAAGTCAAATATTTGCAAAGAAAAAACTGGAAAGTTGAGACTAATCTCAGAAATTGTAAAGCAAAACCTTGAAAGTTTAAAATCAAACATTTGTAATAAAAATATTTTTTTTAGGAAAGTTTTTCTAAACTCTTGGAGCTCAAAAATTTCCTTGAAAGTCTGAGTTTCATGTCAAATGTATAAGAAATTAATTTGGAAATTAATTTCAGAAATGTTTTCAGAAGAAACTTAGAAATTTCAAGTCAAACATTTCCAAGCAAATGATTATTTCTTATAAGTCTCAAAAATGTTTCAGAAAAAATCCTTATGAAAATTTTCAGAGATTAATCTCAAAATTAAAAATTTTGGGGCAGAAATTTGCTTTTTCTATTCGCAGTGGCCCTGATGCACCATCGTAGTTCTCATTGTCTTTGTGTTTCCCGGTTGCTTTACTTTTGTAATCCTGCTGCTCTTGTTGCAAGCACAAAATGTTCTGCAAGTCCGTGCAAAGCCAGCTCTGTTAGGTATGAATGTCTGAAGCCTTTGACTGGTCCATCATTTTATTACTCACAAACTTAATGAATGTTTAGATTTCATAGCCATGTACATTTTTATATGTAAGATAACTTTGTAAATAGCTGTTGATCTTGCAGCAGTTTGATGACTTTTTTAGCCGATTTGGTATAATACTTGAAAATTGGTATTTTGTGTACAGTCTTTGTGTCAGAGCAGATCGATGCAGTTTGTCATCACGTGTTTGTCCAGGACTCAGAGAATTGAATCTGATATCACTGTACTAGTCTTAAGTTATTGTGATTCAATAAATTTATTAATTTATAACTGAATTGTGTCCACTTGTAATAACAGTTCTGATCTCACCACGATTCACAGCATTGTTTTTTTTTTTGGTCATGTGATATGATCTGGAACAATCTTAAAATAATACAGACCAAATAATACAGATTAAAAGAGCAAAGACTAAAAGAATTACTGAAATGACTGTAATTTCCAAACTTCAGAGTTCACATGAATATAATCCACATCCTATCAGCTGCCATCAGGATCTGTCTGGATAAACTTATTAGTTTATATACTTTAGATCAACAATTGTTTCACTTTGCTATTCTGTTAGTTACTTGGATCCAAACTCATTCAAATGTTTTTATTTCATTTTTTCCTCCTCAGATGTGTGTTGCACAAAACAAACATTTAGCCTTGAATCATTTGCAGTTTTATTTGGTGTTTGTACAAAAGTGGTGAAACGAAACGTATATACAAGACATAATACAACATACTTAAACAAATTTATATAAATTATTAACGAAATAGCTACATTTTCTCAATAAACAACTCTAGTCAGTATCGGGGTGAAAGTAACTCAATATTCTTGGCATAAAACTTCCATACAAATTGTACAAAATACTGTACAGTTGAACAAAGCTGTGCAAAAACAGCAAACGCTCTCAGAAGCAGAACCTGTCCAGTGCGCATAATGCAACAAAACAGAGAAACATGCAATGAGTTGTTACAAATCAGTTCACAGTCACATGAAAACAACTCGCAAATTATAAGTTTTTATAAAAAAATAAATTAAGAGACCGTTATTTCTTCGTCGTCTGACTCTGAGAAGTCTGAGTGTTTACTGGACATGGAGGGCGAGGAGACGCTGCATCCTGCCACGCTCATTCTCTCTCTTCTAAACTCCTCGTCCTCCTCTTCTTCCTCTTCGTCCTCGGCGGAGGATTTCTTCCCCACGTCGCTGAGGTCCGGGTGGGGGTTGGATTTGGTGGGAAGGGTCTGCTCTCGGCAGCCGCCGGACGACAGCAGCTCCCGTTCTTTGGAGTTCCTCCACTTCATCCGGCGGTTCTGGAACCAGATTTTTACCTAACGGGGCAAAAAAAGAGGATGGTGAGAAACAGAGAAAAAGAGATGGAAATAGCTGCCCTTGGCAACGAATTATTAGTGCCCAGAAATTTTCTAGAGAAAAATTGAAGATTTCTGAGTTCCAAAAGTTGAAAATCTGTAAGAAAAAACTTACACTTTTAGATTACCATCAGAAAATTTCTGGGAAAAACTTTTACATTTCTGAGCTCCAAAATTTTAAAATTTGCAAACAAAAAAATGCTCAGAAATCTTTTAGATTAATCTCAAAATAATTTTTTTTCTTTAAAAAAATTAATTATTTAATTTATTTTTTCTCAACTGAAAAAAAATCTAAAATTTGCTTTGAATAACTGGACTAACTTTGATTTTTTTTTTTAGCTCATTAAGTTCAAAATGTTCATTTTTTAGGTTTCCAATGTCTCCAAGTTCTTTCTAGAAAATTTCTGAACTTTTCCTCACAAAATTTCAACATTTTGAGAAATTTTTTAAGGAAAATTTTTGGCTGTTTAATGGGGGGAAATGTACTCCTTTTTTCTATCTGCACTGGCCCTAATAAGCCGTTGTAGCTTTACATTACAAATATGCACAAATGTTTGTTAATATTCTGCTCATATTGAAAAAATAATTTTAAATAAGATTAAATAAGACACACAACTAAAATCCCACCTGAAAAGGTTTTTTTCACACATAAAGTCATTAAAACATGTTGCCTTATCCTCCTCCTACCACTTTCTGTCTACTTTGTCATTTCCTACAGTAGTAACATCCGGTTGTTGAACATGTGACTTGTGTGATAGAAAAAAAGTTTTTCCATTGCAGTTTTCTGAAATGCACTAATTTTGATACGGCAGAAAAATTTGAGTTTTATCCCAATTTGTTTCCAATTCACGCATTTTTATTGTCAATGGAAATGTACCCAGCACAAGTTGCACAATGTTTTTCTACAGATGTAGTTTTACCTGCGAATCTTTAAGGCCCAGTTTGGACGCCAGTTTCTTCCTGTCGGGTTTGCTGATGTATTTCTGTTTCTGGAACATTTTCTCCAGAGCTTTGCGCTGAACGTCGGAGAACACGGCCCTCCTCAGCATTCCTCTGCGGGGTTTTCCTCTGGCGGCCAGGGGCCACGAAAAGGTCCCGGGGATGGGAACAACGGAGGATGTTGCTGCAAAACAGAATTTTTTTTTTGAAAATGCTCAATTTCTTTCAAGAAGTTCATTTCTAAAACCACAAAAACTCTTAAAACTTCTCATAACTTCATGAAATCTCACAACCAATAGTTATGAATAAATGTGGGTTTAACTGGAATTATAAGTTTATCACATGTAAACATCCAAAGTGCTACTTTGATATTAGCTGAATGTTTCCATTTGTGTTTATTTATTTATTCTGTTTGCATCTACAATCTGAATGCATGTATGAACAGCAATCATTAAATCTTTGGTGAGATATCATTCACCGAAATGCAAAAACAGATGAGTGACAGAAATGACTCAACTCCAATGTTTATTGCTAGCCTTCATTTTCTAAAACATGTGTTTACACAAGACCTACACAAGAAGATTATATATTTTTAAACTTTTTTCCCCTCATAACTCTGACTTCAAAATTGATATTGAAGTCAGAATTATTAGAAGAAAAACTGGATTTGTTGGGGGGAAAAGAATCTGAATTCTGAATTTTTTTTATTAAATTCTAAGAAAAAATTTAATTCTAGAATTTTTTTTTGTTATTTTAGTGGGCACTAATCTTCTTCCATAGAGGCTCATAGCAAATGCCAGATTTCACTAAAAAATGCCACAATCCTTTGAATATTTATACATACTTTCACTTAAATAACCTATTAGTCACATAAAATAATACAGTTAGTTTATTAGATTGATTATAGCCTGACTTTCAGTATTAATTTCATCATTTCTGCTCCACTAAATGATTTAAAAAATGTCATGAAATAAACCCCAACCGCTGACAGCAACAACTAAACCAACTGAATTAAACAAATTAAACATCATAAGCTATTTACATATAATGAATTAAATATGTAATGTGTGCATTGAATTATTCATAACTGCTTTATTATGTAAATAAACATTTAAACGCTTGGACTTTTGAAATGTTTGTCCACATGTGAATCAAAACGACGCCTCGGTTTTCAGGGATTTTTTTGAAATGGCACGAGGTGACTAATTAGCACATTGGTCGGTCCTCGAGCGCATTGGTATGTTAAAGAGGCAGCGCACCCTTAAAGGAGCCCCGCGAGGGCGGATAGAGGAGTTAATAAACCGTGAACGGTAATTGTGTAGTAATGAACTAACGCAGAAAAGACTGCGGACAGGCGGCGAAGGCCATATATTATCGCAACAAAAGGAGATTTACACTTTCAAACTAAACACAACTGCATACCAGAATACTGATGCCCGGCGGGGGGGCAATGGGGAGAGCAGAGGAACCGGGACTGGTGCGTTTTTTCTTCTTCTTCTTCTTGTCCTCAAATCATTTTCATTAAATGAACACGAAAAGCTTTTCAGGACGCTGGGATTGTTTTGTTGAGGCGCTGAGCTGAGCCCATGAAAAGACTCCTTCTCCATTCTGATTAGTCTGAATGAAAGCGACTTTATAGACTTTTCTAAGGGATTCTTCTTTATCTCAACTCGTTCGCTGCCCGGATGGAGAAAGCGGGACCGTTTAGGGCGCACCGCGCGGGGTGAAGACAGGGAGGAGCTGCGAAGCTGGACGATTTTTTTAGGGTGAAATTTGCTTTCCGGACGCGGTGGCGTCAGGAACAACGACCCTCTATGTGGTCTTGTGAGAATATTGAAAACGCTCAATAGCCCCTAATAGGGAAATTAGTGCATGACTGGTTGGCCCGCCTGGTAAAAGTCACTCTCCGGGGTGTGTGGGTGGTTCGGCCGGTGGGAGCTGACCGATTGGTCACGGCGCAGCCGGGCTTTGTTGCCACCGGGCCGCTGTGGGAATCCGCAGGCCCGGAGAAATGCCAAGAACGCCCCCAATGGGAAGCAGGGGGACCAGAACCCGCCACCCCGCCTCAAATTTAGAGCGTGACGATTTGGGATAATTGGTTAATTAGGGGGTGGGTGGGTTTTCCCTGACAGGGTTCAGAGCCGGCGGTCCCGTTAATGAGACAGTGATTTCTTCTTTTCTGGCTATTTGCCCCCTTTTCTCCTCACATTTTTGTTAAAACATATGACAGGGGTGACAACGTTCAGGTTTAAATGCAATTAGCGCTGTGTTTCCATTACAAATGTTTGCAAAACTTCGTAGATATTCCCCATTCATGAAAGCACAATTACAAGAAACACAATTAAAATCACGCCTGAAAACGTTTTTTCCACTCTATAAGTCATAAACATCATCCTTCTACTTCCTGTCTTCTCCGTTGTTTCTGTCAGTAGTAACATCCGGTTTTTGTGCAAGGTGGAAAATGGCAGCGTTGACAAATACGGCATAATAGGGCCATTTTAGATAGAAAAAAATAAGTAAATTTCCACCAGATACTCAGACATTTTTAGATTAATCTCAGAATTTTTCTAGAAAAAAATCTAAAGTTTCTGAGTTTAAAATTGGAAAATTTGAGGAGAAAAAAAACCATGAAATTTTGAGATTAATCTTTGACATTTCCCACAAAAAGTGGAAATTTTTCAGCTCCAAATTTAAAAAAACTTGAGAGAAAAGCTAAAAAAAATTTTGATTAATCTCAGATGTTTTCTAGGAAACATTTCAGTTTTTAATCTCCAAAAGTCAAAAATATGTGAGAAAAAAAAAAACTCGTCTTAAGAATAATCTCGGAAATTCAAATAAAAAACAATAACATTCCAGAGCTCAGAAAGTTGCTAAATTACAATAAAAAACTCAGAAATTTTCTGAAGAACACACGAAAATTTATGAGTTTAAAAAGTTTTAAAAAATTCAATTCTACTTTTGAGAATTTTCTGAGTTTCAGAAGTGGAAAATGTCTGACTTTTCAAACTCAGATATTTTCACTTTTTCTCTAGAAAATATCTGACAAAATTTGGAGATTTTTGGCGGATGTTGCTCATTTTTTCTATCTTCAAGCCCTAATTCACTTATTTGCCTGAAAACCGCATCATGCTGGCGCAAAAACTTATTTTTTCATCAAGCTTTCCAATTTGGAATATTTTCTTCATGCAATTTTATTTTCATAGCTCCAATTCGCGGGATTATATGGTCAATATAAACACATGCCCACCTGGTAAATATGGCGTCCTGAACATGGGGTGGAAGGTTCCGTCAAAGCAGGGCACTGGGAAGGTCTTGGCGTGGAGGCTGTGGATTGCTGGAGGTGAAGATGCTGCAGAGGAAACGTGACGTGTTAGGAAATGATTTCTGCGTCAAATAAAAGAGCCACCGGTTCAAATTCACGCGCTCTTTAACTCACCTGTCTTTGGTGACGGAGCCAGAATCGCGCTCACTCCAAACTTGAGGAAACTTGGATCCTTGGAGGTTTTGGGCGAGCAGGAGTCGCGCGTCACCGCGGAGGCTCCGTTATAGGACGCGGCGGGCATGGAGGCGTCGACCGGCGGGGCGGTTCGGTTCATGAAGGCGGTGGGTCGACTTATCCGCAGCAGGTCCTCTACCAAGAAGCTGGAGTGAGCCGGGAAGACGGACGGCACAGCCGCGGCGGGTCGGTACAGCCCCGGGTAAAGAGCGGGAGGCGCGAGGACACTTGGGATCATCATAATCCCGGCTTTATGGCGGATAAATAAAAAAAAGTTTCAGTTTGGAATCAGGAATACTCCGCGAATCAGTCCTGCGAACTGGCCCCGTCACTCCAGGGAGAGGAGTTTTATAGCTGGCGGCCCCCCTCAGCCCTCTGGGAGCGGAGAGCCGCAACAATGGAGCGCAACAGAGTTCTCCACATGGGTCGCTTCCATGGCCGCTGATTGGCCACACCGCGCAATTTATGATTGCATTAGTCTTCATAATCAAGCGATGGAGAAAGTAAAGCGCACAAAGGAGGGCCAGCCATCAATTCTCCATGTTGGCCACTTTCCTTTCAGTTTGTCTCCTTTGGCAAAGGCAGGAGAAGTGATGTATAAAACAAGAGGGAGAATTATCCTTTTCTTTGCACGTTTGAAACATGAATAACTTTCAAATGAAGTGGTTGCACTGCAAAAACAGAACATCTTACAAAGTATTGCTTTAGTGCAAATATGTTAATACATTGGAAATAAGACAAAACTAACTTAAAAGTAACTTTTCAGTTATAGCAGATTGTTTAACTGAATAATTTCTATACTGATAAAAAGGTTCCAGTTGCTTTGGAAGATTATTTCACTTATAACATGGGAAAAGTGTCTTATTATAATTGAAATGATCTGACAATGAAACTAGTATTTTAATTCTTGACCCAAAACAAGCTCCTATAACTTGCTGAAAAGTTACTTTTAAGTGATTATTGTCTTATTTTAAGTATTAAGAAAATACCAAAATGACTTATTTTGTGTTTTTGCTGCGCATTACATAACCATTATAACCACAATCTATCAATAAATACCATAGTTTGACATTGTATCCAGAGTTAATTGTTCATTAAAATCAGACAAAGAGACCAAATTTGGTGCAAACATCTTGGCACTGTTAAATTAAAACAAAACTGACTCACAGGTAACTTTTCAGAAGGATGTTGGAGTTTATTTTAAGTCAATTATTTACTTTTAACAAGACATTTCCTCACTTTTAAAATCAATATTAAACAAAGCTCCAGTTTCTTGTTGAAATGCGTCCTTTAAGTTAGTTCAGTATTCAAGATGTTTTTGCAGTGCGCAAAAGAACCAAATAAACCTTCCCGCCCCCGTTTCTGGCAGCATCTCTCATGTAAATCAGCTTTAGGGTTTCATGGGATTCTCAACACTCAATCTGCCTCTCGTCATGGAATAATGCCTTAAACGGATTTCTGCTATCAAAACGCTTTAACAGATGTGTTAAATATCACTCATTTGGCGCGGCGGCGGCTCCGCAGCGCGCACGGAGAAAGTGTGCGGGCCGCACCGTGGACCCATGATCCTGTTAACCATGAACGAACTGTCACCCTCAGCTGCGGAGGAGGCGCCCCGCGAAAAGAGGCACAGTGGTATTAAAAACACAAAAAGAAAAGAGAAGATTTATTTCTAAAGACGGTTTTGTTCTGCTATTTTAACCAACTGAATAAAAATGCATCTGTGATTTGATTTAAAACGCGTTCATATGAGCGCACACTCAGACCCCCAGATACAACTCCTACGGTTAGTCGTGTTTCGTCAGCTTTTCCCATAAAAAAGTTGTATTTAAAAAATCGTTAAAGTTGAAGTAATATTAACAAACTAAATATTCCTACAATAGTATTTTATGTCATTTTTCTAGCTTAAAAAGCGATTATGACCCTAAAAGAATTTTTGACCCAAAAACATTCTGCAATTTTATTTTATTTTTTGCTCGTTGAAATATTTTTTTAATTATTATTTTTGTCCCAAACTGTTTATACTAAGTTTGTGATTATATGATTATATAAAAACAAACTCAATGTTTATATGAATAAATTCAATGAATATGCAAATAAACCTCTTCTTTTGCAAACCAAAAAAAAAAAAAAAAAACGTAATTTTGACCCTAAAAATGTTTCTGGCCAAGAAAATATCACATGTGATAAGATTAAATGAAGAAGCAAATAAATATCCTGTTGTTTCCTGAAGGCTGTTTTTCCGATTGCCGCAAATGCATCACTTAAGTTTCAATAACAATACATCAACATAATATGTAACTGACCGCAATCCGATAATTAACAGGGAACGCCTCCGTGAAATGAGCCTCAGAGTCAACGCTTATGCGCGCAATCCGCACTTACTGCGCAATTGGCGCAGCGCAGCAACATCTTCAATGAGTAACGAGGTCTTCAAAGGTTTTTTATGAGCCCGTATTCCTTTACTTGGCGGGCAGAAATCCGTCTTTTGTGCGCGGTAAGCAGATGGTTACCAGGAAGCAGGAGCTGCTCCGCCTGACCGAGACTAATTTCTACGAGCTTTGCAAGCTTGCCACGTCCCCCGCTTCTTTACCAGGCCGAGTAAAAAACAGCTGGCTGCGGATGAATTAAGGCCATTAAAAGCACATCTTTGGGATAAAACCTCCAACAGTAACAACAACCATCCCTCCCTTCAACGCTTATCACCTTTAAATGGTTATCATGCGTTTAAGGCTCTTTATCATCTGATTGATATCAAGTTGCCATCTGGTAACTCATGCATCTGAATATTTGTCTTATTTTTTTTGGACTTTTTACCAATATGATCTGATATATAGTCACAATCATGTTAGAAAGTGAAATATGTCGCGTGATGTAACTGTTTATTATTATTGGTGCTCCGCGTCATTTTGCGGGACACATTGCGTGAATAATCAGGTGAGCCAAAAAGTGAACTCATGTAAGAGTAAAAAAAGTATTTGATACAAAGTCTACTGGGTCACTGATCAAACTATCAATCATTTCATAGTTAGAAATTACACAATCAGATGGACAAAAATATGAAATTGAGAGGAAGTTTGGACCAAAAATGTCAATAAGTAACAAAAAATAAAAAGTTTCTCCGAATCAGTTTCTTTCAATAAAAAAAAAAAACTTCTAAAACTTTAACACAAACTGCAGGTGTGTGTGTGTGTGTGTGTGTGTGTGTGTGTGTGTGTGTGTGTGCGTGTGTGTGTGTGTGTCTGGTGAATTCATGGTTAAAATGTTTCCTTTTCATTCAGCTGCTTGAAGTTAGAGATACAGAAAAAAAAACTCCTAAAAGTATTTATTTTCAAAAAAGTTACTCAAGTAAAGATAATTGAGAAAATGCAACTAGTTAATACTGAACTCAACTCTAAGAATAAACATTTCCATCACTGAATATTCGCCTGTTTTATTTTATTTTTCGTGTTTTCCCAACACTTTTTTACCAAACAGATGAACTTAACCATTGTTTTGCCTCCCTTTTTGCGTCCCTAAGTGAAAGGGGATTGAGTAAATATGTTATCCATGCATGAGAGGCTCTCAATGGGCCCCTGCATTGTGCTGCGGGTCCGACAGGTGGTTGACTGTTTATTATTCCCTCATTATTTATCAATGACGCGGGCGCATCAAGGCAAGGAAACTCCCAGCTCTTTCACGTCAGGGGTGAACAGATTGTGCTGACTGGTCACCAGTCCCAGTCCAAGATCCACCCAGAGCAGAGCCAAGGTTGCATAACTCACCAGCAGGGATCCACTTTGCTGTTCTCCACATTTCTAAGTTCAACTGTCAACACGTGTTGTTTTGTAGTGTTCTGCTTGACAATCACGTTAGTCAGTCTGTTTTACAAAATGATAAGGAATAATACTTTTTATTTTGGGTACTGATCTACCTTCTATTTTCTTTTTTAATTTATAACATTAATTTTGGACCATTGGTCCAAATTACATTCAGTCTCTTAAAGCTAATTGTGTGCTGAACATTTTAACGTGCAATAAGTGATTTAAATTAGGAAACAACTTTCATGTAACACTGTGATAAATCTTTTTTTTTATTAAATAATAATAATAATAATAATAAATTGTGTTGTACTTGTTAAGTTGGGATCATGGTCAAGGCCAGATTTAGAAGAGTTTGGGCCCTGGGCTGCACTGCGGACTACTTTGGTGCCCCTTTCACTAAAATAGCACTTTTAGTGCAAAATCACAAAATCTACTGTATTTTTGTGGAATTTCTACTGCAAATAAATTAATAGGCTTGAAATAAGACAAACTTACAAATACATTTTCAGCAACATGAGTTTAATTCCTTAAAATTGATCAAAAGTTGCTAGTTCCATTACCAGATTATTTTACTTATGACATTTTCCCCAAATTTGGACTTTTCCCTCAGAATTTAAGCTTTTTTCTCAGAATGTTTTCTTCTTGTAAATTCAAAGGAAGAAGTCAGATTTGTTAATGTTTGTTTGGTGTCCAAACCCTTTTCCTTTGAAATCTGCTTTCATTTGCTTGATAAAATATTATTTAAGCCAACAGTGGTTACTCCTTCTGGGCCGTATAAAACTTCATGTCGGGCCGGATTTGGCCCGTGGGCCTGGAGTTTACTTGGTGAGGTTTTGTGTTTTTGCAGTGTATTGGAGCGTTGCGTCTCAGACTAAGCTGCAGCGAGTTCTTGCTCCTGCCATGTGCGGTTAACCAAACATCTATTTCATTGGACTCAGTTCGTGACCGGGCCTCACCTCCGCGGCGGCTCCCACTCGGGGCGTTTTGGCCGCTGCTTCACCTCGCCGCTCCAGGTCCCTGCAGCATCTGCCGCAAAGCGGAGAAAAAGCTCCACCCGACACTGAGCGAATTAGTGATGCCATAAGATTCAGAAGGACAGTGACAAGCATTAAATCGATATTAACTTTGTATTAAACATGGGGGCCCGCCTTCATCCCCAAATGGAGCGAAGCCACGTCGGTGCACAAAGCGCTCTGTTTGAGCTCTGCGCTGCACCTGTTCCTTCTCGCTTTGGTCATGGGAGTTCAACTTCTTAGTTTCACCCCAGGCTCCTTTCTTGTCCAACTGAATTCTTTCAGTTCGGCTTTTGTTGCCGTTTGTGCGCCTCATCCTCATGCCTCCAGGTTTACAACTCATAAAAATCACATTACGCAGACCGTGCATTTCACATTTCCAGGAACTTCTGATTCAGCAGTTCCACTCTTGGCGCAGAGTTTTTGCTCCAGACGCTCACCTCCCCTTTAGGATGCTCATTTATTAGCAGTATGGATGTC